TAATAAATCGTAGCTAAATTTAAATCAGTACAAAGGAGAAAAGGAAATCTACAGACAGAAGCAAAACAGAAATGAGTTTTCAGTACACATTCTGCTTTTCAGTATGTAGTGTTTTATCGGTACAGAAGGTAAACATTGGTAAACAAATACAAATACAAATACTTTACTGGCACAAACACAATTACAATAATTGGCAAAGGCCCACTGAACAACATTAAATAATGTTTACATATTTTTTCAAGAATTGTCAAGTAATTGACTTCTAAGATCAAAACAGTCTCTGATAAATTTAACAGTAACTTTCAAGACTTTTTGTATATTACTGTTTATATATAATTGTATGTAACGTCGCCGTAGCGTTCAAAGAGCGATAACTCTTTATTTTCAATCCTCTGAATGAATTACGCAAAGTACGTTTAAAAGTTTATTTACACTATTTACACATCATAATAAAATCATAATAACATCCAATAATCAAACACATATAATCCCAGTATTAAAACAATAATATAATCCAATGTTCACATAAGTACAGATTCTGAGCAAGTCAGCAAGTCTGAGAACATCCCCCCTATATATATCTTTAGGCCATTGCTCGCGAGGAGCAATGCGTTTTTTGGTCATTACATAATTGTTGACCATTGCTCGCGAGGAGCAATGGTACGTAAACAAAGAATACAGGTATCTATAATTATATACTAACGGAATCAAATATAAACAAACATAATGAAATAATTAAAGACCGTTACATGTAGCATATATTTCTCATTGCTAAGATTAATATTTTTCTTTGTTTATGTTATAAATATTACCAAGAAACATATATTGACGCAAGCGTCAAAAATCGGCCGCAAACTTAATTGTTCCTTTTATGAAGCAACTAAAGACTGAAATGGTGATCTGTTTTAAAATATCTTATTTTTATCTGTTAATATATATCCTCGTGACATTAAACGCTTGTGCATGACATTGCATGATTTTCTTAATTATATAATGCATCTTCAGTATTACATGTATATGTAAGCAAAGTACCCCTGGTCCTCTGCGTCAACAAACCGTGGGCCTGTATAATTAAGAGGCATTTACATTATTAAAAGTTTAAAACTAAAGTTTAATGTAATCTACAACTAGACATGCAGTGTAGTTTTAATTTAATAGAAACGCAACAAATATGGGGGGCTCCTTGCTCTCTCTTAGAGGAAAAAAAACTAAACTCCCTCTAGATCCGCCACTACATTTCTTCTCTTTCAGTTTCTTTGAGTTGTAGCGGGAAAATTCTTGGCACATTGTAAAACGTGCATTATCCTCGTCTGCTAAGGGCAAAATCTTGTAATATTCTGTAGCCTGCTACAGGGACGTAGCAACCGGGGGGGCCAGCCCCCCCTTTTTTCCCCAACATAACCTTAAGCTTTACTATAGTAAATGTTCATTGATAGGATGGTTGGCCCCCCCACTTTAGAACCATAGTATAGTGATATAAGTTGGCCACTACCCCCCCCCCTCCACGAAATCGGATTTTGGGGATTGGGCAACTTTTAATTTTCTTTTTTTTTTTTTTTTTTTTTTTTTTTTTTTTTTTTTTTTTTTTTTTGCTTGTCAACTTTTTCAGGTAAGTAAAAAAAAATTTTCTCAGGTTGGCCCCCCCACTTTCAAAAACGATGCTACGTGCCTGTGCTAGGTCTTTTGATGAATTAACATTTGACCATATTTTTGAGAATTTTTATATACTAGTATGTACATGTGTACACGTCATTTTAAAATAAATACGTACAACAAATCCTGTTTAAATAGAGAAAGTAAAATTGTGCAATATACATTACGCGGTCTTTGCTTTAGACTATGCCCAGCACACGTCCTAATTTTCTCCGCACCTCAAACATGTTAGTCTCGTTCAACCAGACGCTCGGCTGTCTCCGTAAATCTCCGACAAGCAGAGAGTCTGGTAAAGAATCACGTAAGCGTTTGTAACCGTCAGAGGGCGCTGTCTTGTTTTCGTTTTGAAGATACTTTTTGAAAACAAATGTTAAGTGTGTTATTTTCTTCTGGATTGTGACTTTATATTGATAAACTAATCTTTAATTTGGGGCTCCAAACGAGAAATTACAATATCAATCGAAGGAATGTGTATTACGCAGGTAGGGCTACACTACTTTCACTTTTGCTCTCGTACAGAATATTTGCAAGACGTAATAAAACACACTTACCTATAACCGGTGGGCATTACCGTAAATAAATCCTATCTAACATCTTTAACTTTTGGACACATAATTTTTACATCTTTAAGTTATTTTTCTGCTGATTTATCATGTATTTATTTAAATCGTGTAGGTGTGTTCTTTTTAGCCAATCAAAAACTTTACCAGAATTTCGGTAAGCCTCGTTTTGGCGTTACAAACGATAATGCGTATCTTTACCAGACCCTCTGGGTGGTCGGAGATTCACGGAGACAGCCGAGGGTCTGGTTGAACGAGACTACAAACATGTCTAAGTTTCTCAATCAGGATTGGATGAAATATTTACCTCATTCTTTATTTTAAAAATTAATCGTATGTTTATTGTGTGTTCTTGTTAAACATTTAGACGCTCTTTTTAATATACTATTATATTAATGTCAAATATTTTTATTTAAATTGTTTTAACTCCGCAGAAACGCACAGCGACTTCAAACTTTCATATCATATAACCGACCGCCTCCTGGCGGCCGGTAATAAAGAATGCGTTTCTTAGCTTAGAGTAAGAATTACAGTGAAAAAGAAAATGTATTTCATCCTCAATCACACCAGTATTACAAACATTACAATATCTTTCATTTCTTGATGTGGAAATATATCTACCACTTTCTATTGCAAGTTTATGTGCGCTTAGTCTAATTTTACTAAGAGAGGATCTCTCAGATCTTTTTTTGAGTAAATCGACATAAGGACTTCTTTTTCCTGAGTATACTTTCTTGAAGAGATCAAGTTTTTCTGAACCAAAGATTTTTGATGTTTGCTCTTGAGTGCACTGATCAATGATTCTTTGTTTAATGTTTGGTAAAAGGTGTTGGATGGAACCTGTATATTTTGTAATGTTAGAGAATCCAAGATTATCAAGAATAGAAAATAATTTCTTAGTCCAAGAATTACAGTTAATTGTGGATTGGTAAAGTTTAAAGGCCAAAGAATCAGAAGTTTTCAGGTGATTCCAATATTTGATATTTGAGAGGGAAATTTTGGACCAAAGTGGTAGTCTTTTAAGTTCTGCTAAACAACCAGCATTGGATGTTTTGCAGTGCACTCCAAGGATGTCTTTAATGAATTTTAAGTGAAAATTTTCAACATTTGAAATATCTCTGGATGAGAGATCCACTCCCCATATTTCACTACAATAGAGAAGAACTGGAAGTACAATAGCATCAAAGAGTTTTTCTAAAAGTTTACATGGGTTATCAAATCCAATAATTCTTTTCATTTTAAAACATGCTTTTCTGGCCTTTTCAATAAGCACAGCTGTTGCTAAATTAAACTTCCTATTACATTTCATCATAATACCTAAGTAACAGTATCTTGGTACAATTTGTATTGCATTACCATTAAAACTAAATTCATTTCCTTGAGGCTTGCCATTTGAGTTAAATATCATAACTTTAGATTTATCTACATTAACTTGAAGTTTCCAATTTGAGCAATAGTTACTGAGAATATCAAGACTGGTTTGTAAACCGCTTTTGCTTTCTGAGAAGATTACAATATCATCAGCATATAACAGACAATTTAGGGTGAATTCACCATGCATCGGATACCCTTGTACTTCAGCAAGTTCTAGCGATATCGCTACCGACGGAAAATTATCAAAATGGAGTTTAACATTTAGTTTGTGATTAAAATACCATTTTGGGACACAATTATATGCCCTTTATTGAGAAAATATCCTCAAAAATTGAGTTTTTAGTGATAACTCAAAATTCACCATGGATCGGACATTGTTTACCATGCATCGGACAGACGGTATTTTGACCGGAAAAATGTCATACCTTTATCAAAGTGCTTCAAAATGCTTGATATGGATATATTTTCATCTTTTATCTAGGAAATAACCCTCGACTTAAATTTAATTGACGATATCGTTGCACAAATGTAGAACAATTCAAGAGACCTCAGTCTGCCTTAGAAATGCTATAAAACGCTTATAATGCGGTAATTCGCGCCCTTTTTTCATGGTTTATCATACTCTGGTTTGTAGAAATAAATTGAGTCAAATTCCAGACGTCATATGTCGATAACTTGTATTTTGACTGAAAATATAGAGTTTTTATTTTCCTTTTCCGCAAAAAACAACTATCAGATGGGTTCTGTATGTAAATGGTAGAGCTTACCATTGCATCGGAAAGTGTCCGATGCATGGTTAATTTGTGTCCGATGTACGGAGAAATGAACATACTAGTGAAAACCAGTTCTATAAAGAATTATACGAACATTGTAGTGAAATTTCTTTAAAATTTATGTAAAATTACCAATCTTTGACTTTATTTACCAAAGTCTGACTCGTTCCGCTGAAGGCGAATTTTAAGAACGATAACTCTAAAAATCGAAAAAATCATAAATTTCTGGTTATTCCCCTTTGATGATGTAAAATATGACGTAACTTCAAGGCCATTCTCGGGGTATTTTTATCACAACATGATAATAACAATCGGTATCATTAAAAACTTTAAATCCTCAGCTTCTAGACAGAAACAAATAAATACACGGAACTCGTAAGTTGAAAGAGAATTTATTGTCTAAAGTTGTCCGAAGCAAGGTATGTGTCCGATGCATGGTGAATTCACCCTACTTGTACAGGATCACAATTTCCATTTTTTAAGTCATGGACAATATGAGAGACAAAAATAACGGTTATTCTTGGTTTTTGTAAATTTGTTTTCCTCGATAATCAATCAAGTCCTATTGACATATGCCATCAAAGAGCAGATACATAAATAATGTTATTTATGTCTCAGCAAAGAGTTAGTGCCCTTTGACGAACTCTTCATGTACCTTGAACTGGGCGAATGTGAAAGTAGAAAGCTGACTTGGATTGGAATATGAACTTTTTGAGCATTGTGTTATTTGCTGGAATTGTCATTGAAGTTTGTGCCAGCAGTGTAGATACAGGTAATGTATATTTTTAGTTGAAATCGAATAATTCCCACGGACACATTTTATCAGTCGCAAAACATGATCATCCAACACACTGGCTCCGAATTTTTAAGCTATAAATTCACAATATTTTACAAACTCCTGTCAGTGTTGAAAATTTCTAGACACATAAGTCCTTTGAAGTATGTATTATTTATTTTATTTAAGGACGAAATAGAGTCTTTTTCACAAACCCGTCTCTAGCATAAATAACGTTACAAAAAATCAACAAAGTGAATTTAAAATGTAAGTTGTGATTCAAAATGTAACGCTGCATGTATGCTTAAAAATAAATATTTTGCAAAAATATCATGAAGACAAATTCTTAAAATAATGTATAAAATATTATTTTAGGTTACTTTTGGCAAGTGACAGATTTTCACTATGATGCCAATTATAGCACAAAGGGAGACCCCCTGAGGATGTGTCATGACATGTCAGGTGGTAGCTATAGTAACAGTATCTATGGAAACTACCACTGTGATTCACCATGGAAACTGATTCAGTCGGCCACGGCAGCCATGAAGAGAATCCATCCAAATCCAGACTTCATATTGTGGACTGGGTAATCAATTAGATTTCATTTATAGACTTCTTAGCAATGGCTATGTAATAGGAAGGAGGGGGGAGACAGACTGGATCAAAAATATAGGCCCTCTGATTTTAAGACAGGTGCACCACCCACAGTCTATCTTGCTATTAACAAACATGTTTAATGCTCTTTCATTCATTTTAAAGAGAAAGAAAAAAATCTATGAGGTATTTAATTAAGTAAAGGAATTGGATATAGTACTCCTCCCTATACTGTATTCAGAGACATTTTTACATCCATTTTATTTTCACCCCCTATTTACATCTGAACTTGTCACGATTGGGTAAATTTAAAATTTAAAATTAATTGAATGGAAGTGAAGGATAGGAGAAATAAATCAGAGTAAAAATAACCCTATATACAGTAAATGACTGCATTGACTATTTTCTTCAGAGCACCCACCATTAAGTTTTTGTAAGCCTGATGTTTTATTATTTATCTACAGAGATAGCGTGCCACATGTGGCAGACAGTGACCTTGACCTACAGAAAGTTCAGAGAAACATCGGCAATATCACACTCCACCTCCGCTTTGTGTTCCCAGACACCAAGATATATCCAGTGCTGGGTAACCATGACGAGTATCCCAAAGATGCATATCCCCCCGCCCCAGGGTCTGACTATTACAAGGGGATCATACAAAATGCTCACTTTGACCAGCTTCTGACAAATGATACTGCCAAGCAGTTCTTGACAGGTAAACAATCTCTCTCTAAAAATTTAAACAGACGGATCAGTGCAATAGCTTCACTGGTGACAGTTAAAAATACAAAGTAAATACTAGTAATTGAAGGAAGTTGCTTTTAACAATTCTTAATGGTTTGATTCCACTAGCTGATGTTTCACAAACAAACCATAACTATTTTGAATTGGTCTAAAAGATTTCAGGGAAATGCACAAGCTTTCGAGTACATTTTTGAAAAATCATTGAGTACCATTGAGTTTTTATTAAAGGCTATTTATTAGCTCTTTAACAATATAGATTACTTCATCATTTTCAGGGTAAAAAATCTGTTCCCAGCTCTGTGTGTATTACCTGATGATACCCCTTATCTTTCAGGTGGTTATTACACGACCCTGATTCACCCTGGTCTGAGGGTCATGGGTCTGAACACCAATCTGCTGTACTCCCAGGACAAACTGACCGCCAATTCAGATGACCCCGCAGGCCAGTTCCAGTGGATGGACAACACCCTGACAAAAGCCAGGACGGCCAAAGAAAAGGTCAGTACAAATAACACAACAAACTAAATCAAAAGCATCCATTAAGGTGAGTATAACATACACTTGTATGAGCAGTAGAAATTGGAACTTTGAACCATATGAATGGTGGATATCCCCCTGGGTAACTCAGTCTTTAGAGCAAGAACCAAGAAAACTGGGAAACTGGAGTTTTATTGGTTTATTTTATTGTTATAATTAATCTGTATTCTGATAGAGAAAAAAATCTTACTGTTAACTTTTATATTATATAAGAAATATCTGCTTTTTCCAGAGTTTGGGGAGTTAGGGTAAACATATACCAGTATAGTAATTATTGTAACATCAAGGAAGTCAGTCATGCTTGTATATTAAGTTGACTTTGTATGTCATTTCTTATATTTTTATCTTGATGTCTCTGTGATTCAGATGTATATGTTTTACACTGTTGTTGATTAACATTAATATACGATAATATCAAGATAACAAAATGTTTCCTGACTGCAAACAAAGTGAAAACATTTTTGAGCATCAGCCAAACCAAATAAAGTACTTAATCTTTTACTATTTGAAAGTAGTTGAATAGCTTTTGATGGCGACTTCCTTATGTGATTATGAAATAATTACTTCAATATGATGGGATTTTTTCAACTTCCTTAGATGAATATAAAATTACCAATTCAGTGTGTGATGAGAGTATTCATTCTATCTCGGAAAAAAATTCTGCACTGTTATTGTTTCAATAAATTTTTTTTTAAATATTTGCATCCATACAAAATTTGTTCAAGTTTAAAGAAAAAGGAAAAAGACAAAAACCAACAGCTTCACAGGTAAGTAAATGTTAAGTCAGAGCAACCAATGACATCATAGAGAACAACCAATGACATCATAGAGAACAACCAATGACATCATAGAGAACAACCAATGACATCATAGATAGGTTAAGGTACTAAACTAACTATAGTAAACAGTCTATTGCTTGATATGGAACCAAAGGCAGATAACTCCAGTATGTACAAATATATTTTATCAAAAAATGGTGTACATTCAGAGATAAAATTAAACAAGAGGCCCATGGGCCTTATAGGTCACCTGAGTATTGTGCAACAACTTTCAAACAATTCAATTTGGTTCGTTTTTAAACCAGAGGCCATGAAATTCACAATTCACAATTTTGAAAGAGGCACCATTGCTTATCATAATTATAGACTTAGCATGCTTACTCTATTTACTTAATACCCAGAGGTAGATGTGTAACATTAAGAGAAAATGCACTTCCACTTTATAACCAGTTGTGCACCTCATCCCAAAGAAACCACTGAACCTGGGGCCACATATTTCAAAATTTTGCAAATTTTATCATAAAATGGTTGATTAATACCAAAGAGCACATTTCAAAACATTAATTTATTTTCAGTTGCTGTACCCCCCCCCCCTCACCCCCGACCCAGGGAGGGGGGGGGGGGCATAAAAAATAATCATTTTGCTAGATGCACCTTTCTTCATCATAGATATATATACTTGGATCATTGGCATAAAACCCAGGAGCAAAGGAAAGATTTTCAAAGAATTAATGTATTTTCACTATATAATCAATAGAGCCCCGCCCTAACACCAGAACCCCTGACCCTGGGGCCATAAAATTCACAATTTTGGAAGAGGAAGTCTTGATCAACATAACTATTTACTTTCATAGTTTTTATTAATATCCAGAAGCAGAGAAGAAGATTTTCAAAGAATTAATGCATTTTCACTATATGATCAATAGAGCCCCGCTCTAACACCAGAACCCCTGACCCTGGGGCCCTAAAATTCACAATTTTGGCAGAGGCACTCTTGCTCATCATAACTATTTACTTACATAGTTTATTTGATACCCTGGAGCAGAGAAGAAGATTTTCAAAGAATTAATGCATTTTCACTATATAACCAATAGGGCCCCACCCTAACACCAGAACCCCTGACCCTGGGGCCACAAAATTCACAATTTTGGAAGAGGCACTCTTGCTCATCATAACTATTTACTTACATAGTTTATTTAATACCCTGGAGCAGAGAAGAAGATTTTCAAAGAATTAATGCATTTTCACTATATAACCAATAGGGCCCCACCCTAACACCAGAACCCCTGACCCTGGGGCCACAAAATTCACAATTTTGGAAGAGGCACTCTTGCTCATCATAACTATTTACTTACATAGTTTATTTGATACCCAGAAGTAGAGAAGAAGATTTTCAAAGAATAAATGCATTTTCACTATATAACCAATAGAGCCCTGCCCTAACACCAGAACCCCTGACCCTGGGGTCATAAAATTCACAATTTTGGAAGAGGCACTCTTGCTCATCATAACTATGTGCTTGGTTAGTTTATTTAATACCCAGGAGCAGAGAAGAAGATTTTCAAAGATATCATGCATTTTCACTGTATAATCAATAGGGCCCCGCCTTAGCACTAGAACCCCTGACCCTGGGGCCATGAATTTCAAAATTTTGGTAGAGGACTCAATGCTCATTACATTCATGCCAACAGTTTGCCTGCTTGATGTCCAGGAGTAAAGAAGAAGATTTTTAAAGATTGCAATAATTTTAGTGGTTTTGGCCCCACCCCTCAGGCCCCAGGGGGGCGGGGACCATAAAATTCACAATTTTTGTTCCCCTTCACCCATAAATGCTGTATACAAAATTTGGTTGAAATTGGTTGAGCGGTTTCAGAGAAGAAGCTGAAAATGTTCAAATGTTAACACACGACGCACGACGACGGACGAAAACGGATAGCAATAGGTCACCTGAGTTACTCAGGTGACCTAAAAAAATGTTATTCATCATGTTTACATGTCTCTCCTTTATCTTCTTTCCTCAGGTAATTATCCTCTCCCATGTTCCTCCAGGAGTTTTTGAGAAGTACAACTCCTTGATGTGGTTCTACGACAAGTTCAACATTCGGTACGTCAGGATCCTACAGAAATTCTCCGACATTATCACAGCTCAGATTTACGGACATGAACACACAGACAGCTTCAGAATTCTGAAAGATACACAGGGTATGTCAGTTTATATCAGGAAAGATTTGTTCATATTGTGAAATTGAGAGTTTGTTTTAAAATAGTTATATTTTAAGGAACCAAATGGCTACTGTCTTAAATCAATGAATAATATTTACATTCGCTGTGTTTTTCTACTAAGCCAACTGTGATATTGATTTGAATACTATTTTCGTGTATACTCACGCGTAGAAATATACACGGAAAAACGTGCGTTAACATGACATCACAATAAGGCTACAGCGACGTTAGTAAAAGTACAACGATATAGGGCAGTGAAAAATTCAAATATTGAGTATATTTCTGGTGCTTCCAAACATTTAAAATGTAAATATAAGGAATGTTTTTAAGTTTAATGTGAATTATTGGTGTGTGAATCACACAGACTTGCACGTTGGCATATTTTTATGAAGCGCTATTCACACACCAATAACTCACACAAAACTTAAAAACATTCCTTAAATAATAATAGTTTTTTGGTGATACTGTATGATTATCAGTACTGACTTTTGAATTTTTAAAATTTTGGACATGTTTGTACTGGTACCTGCCATAGATTTAAACTGTATTTTTAAACCATGCATACATTATGTACATATTGTACTAAACATTGTGCTACATCTTTGAATTGTTATTTTTTAGGTTCCCCTGTGGGTACCTTATTTCTGGCCCCTGCTGTGACCCCTTGGAACAGCAGTTTGGCTGGAGTGGGGGCCAACAATCCCTCCCTCCGACTTTACATTTACAATAAAACTGACGGCACAATCCTCAACTACAAGCAGTACTACTTGGACCTGGCGTCACTGATCCATGGAGTAGGAAATACAAACTGGACCCTAGAGTATGATGCCCAGAGGGACTATCAACTCCCCGACTTGTCTCCAAAGTCAATGAACAATTTAGCCGTATCTTTCAATCAGGATAACTCGGCCATGTTTCTGAAATACCTGACCTTTAATTCGGTGAGTCAGACTGTCAAGCCAGGATGTGATTCCGTGTGTAAGTTGACTCACGTCTGCTCCATCACTGAGTTGGAGCTGCTGAATTTTAAGCTTTGTCAGTCGTCCGAGACCACTCGTACCACCCAGCACCCGGGGCCCACCCCCTCTCACAGACACAGGCGGCCGGTGGGGAAGATGTATATATACATCATTATAGGCCTGGGTGCTGTCGTCTTTCTGCTCTTCATTGTTGTCGCCATTGTATGTATCAGACGACGACGACATTTTGTGCCTCATCGATTTTCTAGATTTTCAAATTCCCTGGGATCAGGACCAATTAATTAAGGGAAATCTAAAAATATGTCACTCCTGCTCAAGTATATATTTTTTCTCCCTTGTTGATTATATGAATTTTAAATTCTGTTGGTAGAAAAAAAAATGGACTAGCTTTCATATTGAAATAAATATGAAAGGATCGAGATTTATAATTTCATTTGTTAAACATGGGTATTAAATTTATATTTTTTAGTCAGTTTTTATCTATTGTTTTGAATTGATGTGAAATGTTAAAAATGCCAAAATCTGGTGTGAAAGATATTTTTCATTTTACAGTAATTTATAAGTCTGTTTTGATGATAAGTCCCAGAATTTTGCCCACACTCAGTGTGTACATTTATGTCTGACTTGTTCTTATGAAGTAATTTCCATTTACCGGTTGTGCCTTTGTTGCATTCCACAAACTGTGCATTGAAAATTGAATATGTTGTAGAATTTCTCAAGTTTTATTTATGATACATACAATGTAAAATTGAAAATACTGTGAAAACACAAATTTTCGTGGGGGTTTAATTTTCATTGTTTTCAAGGTACGATTCATGACCACCACGAAATGTAAAATGTTACATATATAAGTACTCATTAATTCTTGATCCACGAAATCAAATCCCCCTGAACCAAGAGATTTTCCTCAAACCACGAAAATTTGACCCCATGATAATATATGATTTTACAGTATTTAATATCTTGTCTTTTTGTTGTTTAGGGTGCTATATTATGAAAAATTGAATTAGAAGATGTAGGTTTCTTGTTCATGAAGAAAATATATTCATAATATTCCCCATTTTTCTTTTCTCAGATTTATTATGATGAATAATTTATGTAGCATTGCAATAGATGATACAATAATTTTTAAGATTTTGTGAATTGACCATGGACATTTTCAAACCTTTTCATGAAGTATATGTGATATATTGTTGCACCATGACAGGAACTGAATACTGAGATATTGTTTAGGGTTGTATATCTTCATCTGCATATCATTTTGCTGGATTCATGTTTTTACATCATATTAATTACTATCTATATACAGGGTTATTTACTGCGGTTGTATTTTTTGACATTTTGTATTTGCTTGCCAATTTTTTGCCAAAATCTGGTGACAATTTCAAGTAAATCCATTGATGTTTTAACCTGGATTCAATTAATATTTTTCACCAAATCACAATTTTGTTCATTTTATATATATAATCTAAGAAATTATGCTTTGATAATCGTTGGAAATGCAAATATACTTTTAGCCTCCAGAAAAATACCAATCTATTTATGATTTGCCTATAAGTCGGACATAGAGTTTTAGACCAATATTTAACTCCCATTCACCATTTTGTACAACAATTTTGTGATAAATTTTGTTTAAGAAATTATGCTTTGTTCTTTGATTTTGCTCTGTTTTAAATTAACCCACTTGTGATAAGGGTGAAATGGGGCGAAAATAAAATGGGGGCAAAAATTTCCCTGTATACAGTATTTCGCAAGAATTTTCTCTGTTGGGAGGACTCTAGTTTGTCTATTACATTGTCACATATTGTAACAAGTGTAAATGAACAAAGTTACATTGTATCAATAACACAATTGAGTGCTATATTTTCGGTGCTGTATAGAAATATCGAGGTATAGGATATGATGTGGGATTTTAGTGCAATAGGGGCAATAAATTTAAGCTCTCAAAATGATACTTAATTAAGTTACATGTACATCAAATAGCCAAAATTAATGATATTATATTCTTTTGTAAATATGGTTATTAATTATATGATTTTTGTTAAAACACAATAACAAGTTATCAAAAGTTCCTCTAAGGAACACATTTTTATCCTTGTGTTTAGAATGCATATATTTATATAAAGAATTAATTATTTAGGACACACTACTAAAATGTAGAAAACTTTTTTTTCTGAAATTTGAAATAAAATTCTTTATATGTTTGTTATGATAATTACTTCTACAATGCTGAAGCTTTGATTGTGAATATAGTTCACAAATCTACATTCCCCATTGCATTGTTATGGTAGTGGTGAGGAGACTGTGCATGATCATCGTGGTTGCTCTTTAACAGGGCATATTGATATACTGTGGCACAAAATGACAGGCATAAACATTTTTTAATTAATCTTACACTCATTATAATATGTCTTGGAAAAATGCTTTTATCCTGATAGATTAAATGTAATTGTTATTATTAAGAAAAATAAAGTAAATTTAATTTTCTTGACCAGATTTTTCATCCAAAAAAATCTGTTACTGAAGAGATGAGAATTACAGACACTGCTGCCAAAAGGTTACTTATTTGTACTTTAGATAACCCTACTACAACACATGATGGAAATATTTCATTTTATAAACTAATTGTACATATAACAGAGATTTTCATGGTCCTTGAATTGCAATTTTGAAATTTAATAAGAACAATGCCACATTTCAAACTTTCATAATTTATCTACAGCAAAACTTGTTTAGTACAAACATGGATATTGTGAATTTACAGATATAGCAAAATTATCTTGGATCCCCAGATATAAATTTAACAAATTCTTTTAACAGATATAACAAAATATGGATATAGTGAAGTTATTTTACAGGTTGCCTTGACTTCATTTTAACTGATTTTTACTGTATTTGATTATTTACTTATACCCTCACACAGTTGGCATGGTGAGGGTATATGTCTACTAAAGAGTGTGGTAGTAGTATATGTCTATTACAGATAGTGGTAGGGGTAAATGTCTCCTACAGAGTGTGGTAGGAGTATATGTCTACTACAGAGTGTGGTAGGGGTATATGTCTATTACAGATCATTGTAGGAGTATATGTCTACTACAGAGTGTGGTAGGAGTATATGTCTACTACAGAGTGTGGTAGGAGTATATGTCTACTACAGAGTGTGGTAGGAGTATATGTCTACAACAGATCGTGGTAGGAGTATATGTCTACTACAGAGTGTGGTAGGAGTATATGTCTACTACAGAGTGTGGTAGGAGTATATGTCTACTACAGAGTGTGGTAGGGGTAATTGTCTACTACAGAGTGTGGTAGGAGTATATGTCTCCTACAGAGTGTGGTAGGAGTATATGTCTACTACAGAGTGTGGTAGGGGTAAATGTCTACTACAGAGTGTGGTAGGAGTATATGTCTACTACAGAGTGTGGTAGGAGTATATGTATACTACAGAGTGTGGTAGTGGTATATGTCTACTACAGAGAGTGGTAGGAGTATATGTCTACTACAGAGTGTGGTGAGGGTGTGTCTCCTACAGATTGTGGTAGGAGTATATGTCTACTACAGAGTGTGGTAGGAGTATATGTCTACTACAGAGTATGGTAGGAGTATATGTCTACTACAGATCGTGGTAGGAGTATATGTCTACTACAGAGTGTGGTAGGAGTATATGTCTACTACAGAGTGTGGTAGGAGTATATGTCTACTACAGATCGTGGTAGGAGTCTATGTCTACTACAGAGAGTGGTAGGAGTATATGTCTACTACAGAGTGTGGTAGGAGTATATGTCTACTACAGAGTGTGGTAGGAGTATATGTCTACTACAGAGAGTGGTAGGAGTATATGGAGTATATGTCTACTACAGAGTGTGGTAGGAGTATATGTCTACTACATTGAGTGGTAGGAGTATATGTCTACTATTGAGTGTGGTAGGAGTATATGTCTACTACAGAGTGTGGTAGGAGTATATGTCTACTACAGAGTGTGGTAGGAGTATATGTCTACTACAGAGTGGTAGGAGTATATGTCTACTATTGAGTGTGGTAGGAGTATATGTCTACTACAGAGTGTGGTAGGAGTATATGTCTACTACAGAGTGTGGTAGGAGTATATGTCTACTACATTGAGTGGTAGGAGTATATGTCTACTACAGAGAGTGGTAGGAGTATATGTCTACTACAGAGTGTGGTAGGAGTATATGTCTACTACAGAGAGTGGTAGGAGTATATGTCTACTACAGAGTGTGGTAGGAGTATATGTCTACTACAGAGTGTGGTAGGAGTATATGTCTACTATAGAATGTGGTAGGAGTATATGTCTACTACAGGGTGTGGTAGGAGTATATGTCTACTATTGAGTATGGTAGGAGTATATGTCTACTACAGAGTGTGGTAGGAGTATATGTCTACTATAGAATGTGGTAGGAGTATATGTCTACTATAGAGTGTGGTAGGAGTATACGTCTACTACAGAGTGTGGTAGGAGTATATGTCTACTACAGAGTGTGGTAGGAGTATATGTCTACTACAGAGTGTGGTAGGAGTATATGTCTACTACAGAGTGTGGTAGGAGTATATGTCTACTACAGAGTGTGGTAGGAGTATATGTCTACTACAGAGAGCGGTAGGAGTATATGTCTACTACAGAGTGTGGTAGGGGTAAATGTCTACTACAGAGTGTGGTAGGAGTATATGTCTACTACAGAGAGTGGTAGGAGTATATGTCTACTACATTGAGTGGTAGGAGTATATGTCTACTACAGAGTGTGGTAGGAGTATATGTCTACTACAGAGTGTGGTAGGGGTAAATGTCTACTACAGAGTGTGGTAGGGGTAAATGTCTACTACAGAGTGTGGTAGGGGTAAATGTCTACTGCAGAGTGTGGTAGGAGTATATGTCTACTACAGAGAGTGGTAGAAGTATATGTCTACTACAGAGTGTGGTAGGAGTATATGTCTACTACAGAGAGTGGTAGGAGTATATGTATACTACAGAGAGTGGTAGGAGAGAGTGGTAGGAGTATATGTCTACTACAGAGTGTGGTAGGAGTATATGTCTACTACAGAGTGTGGTAGGAGTATATGTCTACTACAGAGAGTGGTAGGAGTATATGTCTACTACATTAAGTGGTAGGAGTATATGTCTACTACAGAGTGTGGTAGGAGTATATGTCTACTACAGAGTGTGGTAGGAGTATATGTCTACTACAGAAAGTGGTAGGAGTATATGTCTACTACAGAGTGTGGTAGGAGTATATGTCTACTACATTGAGTGGTAGGAGTATATGTCTACTACAAATAGTGATAGGAGTCTATGTCTACTACATTGAGTGGTAGGAGTATATGTCTACTACAGAGAGTGGTAGGAGTATATGTCTACTACAGAGTGTGGTAGGAGTATATGTCTACTACAGAGTGTGGTAGGAGTATATGTCTACTATAGAATGTGGTAGGAGTATCTACTACAGGGTGTGGTAGGAGTATATGTCTACTATAGAGTGTGGTAGGAGTATATGTCTACTACAGAGTGTGGTAGGAGTATATGTCTACTACAGAGTGTGGTAGGAGTATATGTCTACTATAGAATGTGGTAGGAGTATATGTCTACTATAGAGTGTGGTAGGAGTATACGTCTACTACAGAGTGTGGTAGGAGTATATGTCTACTACAGAGTGTGGTAGGAGTATATGTCTACTACAGAGAGTGGTAGGAGTATATGTCTACTACATTAAGTGGTAGGAGTATATCTCTACTATAGAGTGTGGTAGGAGTATATGTCTACTACAGAGTGTGGTAGGAGTATATGTCTACTACAGAGTGTGGTAGGAGTATATCTACTACAGAGTGTGGTAGGAGTATATGTCTCTACAGAGAGTGGTAGGAGTATATGTCTACTACAGAGTGTGGTAGGAGTATATGTCTACTACAGAGTGTGGTAGGAGTATATGTCTACTACAGAGTGTGGTAGGAGTATATGTCTACTATAGAATGTGGTAGGAGTATATGTCTACTATTGAGTGTGGTAGGAGTATATGTCTACTACAGAGTGTGGTAGGAGTATATGTCTACTACAGAGAGTGGTAGGAGTATATGTCTACTACATTAAGTGGTAGGAGTATATGTCTACTATAGAGTGTGGTAGGAGTATATGTCTACTACAGAGTGTGGTAGGAGTATATGTCTACTACAGAGTGTGGTAGGAGTATATCTACTACAGAGTGTGGTAGGAGTATATGTCTCTACAGAGAGTGGTAGGAGTATATGTCTACTACAGAGTGTGGTAGGAGTATATGTCTACTACAGAGTGTGGTAGGAGTATATATCTACTACAGAGTGTGGTAGTGGTATATGTCTACTATAGATCGTGGTAGGAGTATATCTAGTACAGAGTGTGGTAGGAGTATATGTCTCTACAGAGAGTGGTAGGAGTATATGTCTACTATAGAGTGTGGTAGGAGTATATGTCTACTACAGAGTGTGGTAGGAGTATACGTCTACTACAGGGTGTGGTAGGAGTATATGTCTACTACAGAGTGTGGTAGTGGTATATGTCTACTACAGAGTGTGGTAGGAGTATATGTCTACTACAGAGTGTGGTAGTGTATATGTCTACTATAGATTGTGGTAGGAGTATATGTCTACTATAGAGTGTGGTAGGAGTATATGTCTACTATAGAATGTGGTAGGAGTATATGTCTACTACAGAGTGTGGTGAGGGTGTGTCTCCTACATATCGTGGTAGGAGTATATGTCTCCTACAGATAGTGGTAGGAGTATATGTCTACTACAGAGTGTGGTAGGAGTATATGTCTACTACAGATTGTGGTAGGAGTATATCTACTACAGAGTGTGGTAGGAGTATATCTACTTCAGAGTGTGGTAGGAGTATAATTATGTCTACTACAGATAGTGATAGGAGTATATGTCTACTACAGAGTGTGGTAGGAGTATATGTCTACAACAGATAGTTATAGGAGTAGATGTCTACTACAGATCATTGTAGGAGTATATGTCTACTACAGAGTGTGGTAGGAGTATATGTCTACTACAGAGTGTGGTAGGAGTATATGTCTACTACAGATAGTTATAGGAGTAGATGTCTACTACAGATCATTGTAGGAGTATATGTCTACTACAGAGCGTTGTAGGAGTATATGTCTACAACAGAGTGTGGTAGGAGTATATATCTACAATACAGAGTGTGGTGAGGGTATATGTCTACTACAGATCATATGGTATGAGTATATGTTGAATAAATAAAATCAAAATTTCAAGAGAAACAAGAGGCCCATGGGCCACATCGCTCACCTAAGAAGCTTTGACCATTCTGTTCTTTACTAGATTTCCCCCTTGTAATACATATTGTGACCCCACCCTACCCCACTGATCATAATTTAGACATTTTGAAATCTACACTTCCCCAGGATGCTTCCATGTGCAAATAAGTTTCAGCTTTTCTGGCCCAGTGGTTCTTGAGAAGAAGACTTTCAAAGATTTTCCTATTATATATATATTTCTATGTAAAACTTTGATTCCCCATTGTGGCCCCGCCCTACCCCCGGGGGGTCATGATTTTAACAATTTAGAATCTTTTACCCCAGGATGCTTCCACATAAGTTTCAGCTTTTCTGGCCCAGTGGTTCTTGAGAAGATTTTCAAAGATTTTTCCTGTATATTTCTATGTAAAACTTTGATTCCCCATTGTGGCCCCACCTACCCCCGGGGGTCATGTTTTGTACAATTTAGAATCTATACACTACCCCAGGATGCTTTCACATATGTTTCAGCTTTTCTGGCCCAGTGGTTCTTGAGAAAATGATTTTCAAAGATTTTTCCTATATATATTTCTATGTAAAACTTTGATTCCCCATTGTGGCCCCGCCCTACCCCCGGGGGTCATGATTTGAATAATTTAGAATCTACACTACCCCAGGATGGACGGACGAAAGACAAAATGTGATCAGAAAAGCTCACTTGAGCCTTCGGCTCAGGTGAGCTAAAAATGCCATATTTATGTTTGATCATCTTCGCTAGCCAAGGGTTTCTGATACGCTACTCTCCTCATAAACCCTTGGCCTACGGTGTTCATAGAAATCGATATTTGCGTTCGGAATACATCTTCACTCTTTAATCTCGGAAATGAAAAACGCAAGTAAACAACGATCCGTAAGATAACGAATAGCCATGGTGTCATCCAATATCTTCTAAATTATAATATGTGATTAAGAATCTATATTGAAGCTTCAGATTTGTTCTATAAATAATGAATAAACATAACTCAATTATTGCTTCTTAATTATTCTTGAAATAACTTTGATTTAATTTTTTTTAACACGTGTCTTTATTTCTGGCGATGACGCAATCTGTTCGTACCTTCGAGATCACGTGACGGAAAACAATCCCGTCTTTTGACTTCACCGTATGCCAAGGGTTTATGAGGAGAGTAGCGTATCAGAAACCCTTGGCTAGCGAAGATGATGTTTGATATGCATATTTCAAGCATTTTAAATTTCCCGCCAGAAAATGAAATCGAAAGTAGAAAGTGTAGCAGAAATGGATTTTGTTATATACATTTATGCATTATATTTGAGTAAAATTGTGTTAATATTAATGTTTTCATACATATATGTGTATACTGCCTTATCCCTAATATCATTTGTTTATATTTACCATGTTTACAAACCTTCTCAGGGAATAGCACGTGTTGCTTTTGGGCTAATGTTTATCTAAATTTTGATTGGCTATTAATACGGAAGTTAACCTTTTGGGTGTCACTAATATCAGTCAAAGTTCATACCCTTTGGGTGCATCCACTAGATTCTATTTCCATAAAGTATAAAAACCCATGTAACTGCTAGTTTAGTGGAGAATCTTGAAAAGCATTCATTTGCTGTAAGTTCTCTCACTTTTATAGACGTTTATTAGGTATTTAACAGGTTGCACCTTTAGAAATTATGTTGGGTGCTAGTCAAAGCGCCCCAAAACCAGAACGCCCCATGCATGAGCGCCCCAAATATTTTTACGTATTTTACGAGCGCCCCAAACATATTTCACGAGCGCCCAAAATTAGCATTTCATGCGCCCAAGGTTTATAAACTAGTAAAGAACGATATAATGGTGTTTATTGCATGTTTTATTACAATTTGATTAAAAATAAAATAAATAAACTGATATGAGCAATTCACGAGCGCCCCAAATTATATTTGTCAAGAGAGTGCCTCAAATATTCGACGTATGAAAAAAATAACGAACATCACAAGTAAACTAGCATTATACGTTTAGATATATATATATTCATTTTAGAAAGGTGTGGTACATGTATCTTATATCCTTTAAATCGGTAATCTATTCAGGGTTAAAACTGTTTGTTTTTTTTAATCATTTTTTTTAATCATCTAAATAGTTGAATTGTAAATAAGAGTTAGGAAATATATTTACAATCTGTCAGAAATAAATGCTAATAGATATTATTAAATTACAACAAAAAATTGGTAATGATAGAAAAAAAAAATATTTATCATTCAACCCACCCAGTCATCTATCTACTAAATTTTTACAAATTTTTAATGATGACGTTTAAAATCGCAGTATACCCATGATGAAATTTCAAAGTTTGTATATAGTGTACGTGCCTCCTGCTTTCCTTGATTATTATGTACAGTGTACCTGATTATGTAACTCAACATAACAATACACATGCACCTGTCACTCGATCAGTGGGATATGTAGTCTGTATATACTCAGTAAACATAATTTCAGGTATCCAATTCATTCCAGACAACTGGACAAATTCAACAAATATACACCGTAATTCTGGTCCTTGGACGACATTTTTACAACCTTTCCGTGTAAATTATTTAATTTCTATCACACGGATCATACATGAAGATTAAAGTGAATACAAAGAAACTAATAACAAAAATAAATAAAAAAAATTCACTTACTACGTTTTCCATAAAAAGAAAAAATACCAGCTGTAAATCATAGCTAGACAACGTCACAAAAATTTGGTCAAGCAACTCCTACAATTCAGGCACGTAGCATCGTTTTTGAAAGTGGGGGGAGGGCAACCTGAGAAATTTTTTTTTTACTTACCTGAAAAAGTTGACAAGCAAAAAAAAAAAAAAAATCCAAAAAATTAAAAGTTGCCCAAAGTACGAAAATCCTATTTCGTGGGGGGGGGGGGGGGGGGGGGGGTAGCCAACTTTTTCAACACCGACTATCTTTCAATTCAAACTTTTTGGGGTAAATTTTCTTTATAATACTACACTGTGATTAAATGTGGGGGGGCCAACCTTCCTTTCAGTAAACATTTTCTATAGTAAAGGTAATGTCGGGAGAAAAAGTGGGGGGGCCAGGCCCCCCCTGGCCCCCCCTGATACTACGTGCCTGCAATTTCCGTACGCCAGGTTGGGGGGGGGGGTGATTTTTGCTTGATTTTCAAAATAGGATTTTTTTTCACAAGGCAGGAATTTACAGTTGTTATTTTTTTTTATTATACCATTTTTTTGTTTGTCTATACAAAGGTTAAATAAATTTTGTTGTTTATTGAAATTGATGTTTTCATTACATTTTGACATGAGGTGTTGAAATAAGGTACAAACAGGCTCCGAAATAAGACCAAGCAGAATCTCAAATCAAAATAAGAACCTGGGAAATAATTTAATATGAAAATATAGGAGAGTGTTAGAAATATTCTAGAACCACTAATGACAATGTGTGGTGGTCAGCCGGGTTCGATCGCCGTTGACCAGATATACTCCTATTACAGAAAGGGAGGTAACTTTGTTCATCTTGAAAAAGAGCACGTTGTGGAATATGTCAACAGGTCATAAAGTACGTAGTTAATACTGTATTTCTATATATTGAACATTAATTTTTTTATACGATCCGATACGACATTTTTAAACATGTTATATTATATACTTGAATAAAAGGCTTTTTTAACAGTGTTTAATAGACCTCCTAAAGAATCCACTAATATCAGTTATCACACATCGACGCTGATCGTGTAAAATATCGTATCAGATCGTATAAAAAATTAATGTTCAATGATATGATCGTTCTGTTTAGATGTTAACGAATAACTGCTTATTCTACTCCGGTTGATCCAAAATTTTATAAAAGCTGCTTGTTCAATTTCATAGTCTTGTCTCACTATCATAACAAAATATATAGCTTTTAAATTCAAACTTTTAATACCTATAAAAGTTCCATATGTTGAAAGAGTCGGTTGTCTGATCGGTTCCCTGAACGTCTACTCCCTATATATATAAACAGTATAATTATCCCACTCAACTGAGGCCCTCGGAGGTGCACAGGTAGACTTTACCTGTACGTGTTACCTGTGCTTTAAACTGTATGAATAAACTACCTGCATTTAGAAGACTGTGTCAAAGACTTATAGAGGGAAATTTTTATAAATACGTCCTATAAAATGAATTAAATGTTATTCAAATTTTTAAATATTTTTTACTCAAATTTTCAAAGTGTTTCCTAGGTATTTTAGTCAATTTATATTAATCAATGTTTCAAAAATCTTACCAATAATTCCTAGAAAATGAATAATATGTTAAACAAATTTTTAAAATATTGTTTACTAAAAATTTCAAAGTACATGTATTTATTCTAATTTTGTAGTAAAAAACTACCTTATTTAAATTAGAAAAAGTTTATTGTATTGTGCTAATTAATCTTTAATTCTATTTATTTTTAATCAAAATGTTTCAAAGCAGCAAATGTTAATATTTTAACGATTTAAATGCATTTGACATATTCAAACAGACAAAAAAAATCTCTCCGTTGAATTCAGTTATTTTTTTATGGTGCTTAAGACAGGTAAAACAGGTAAACGCTACCTGTGCCCCTCAGAGGGCCTCTTAATTGAGTGTGATAATTACACTGTTTATATAGGCGTTCAGGGAATAAACCGTCTGTTCTATCAATCTATGTATCAATCTATACACATACTAATTATCTAAAGATATGCTATCTCCTTAATAGCGTAAAGATGATTTCTGATCACTTTTAATTAAAAACAGTTAAATATATTAATCTTTAAATTGCATGTGATTGAAATTCCCAATGCAGCCTCTTTTCTTTTAATTCCCACTTGCATATTTTGTAGGATATATTGATCTGGCTCTCACTGGCCTCAGCTCCAATTATTATTGACAATTAACCTTCACATTCTTAAAAGTAAACACTTTCTCTTTTTAAGTATATACATGTATATAATGCATGCTCCCTAGCTCTCCCTATCATATTTATTGCATGATAGCGATCTCTTTTAATTATGCCCCATACTAAGACAATTAGATATTAATATCTAATTGTCTTAGTATGGGGCATAATTAAAAGAGAACAATTATTACATATACCCCTGTAGGTTTACAGATTTCATTTGCAAGACATACTGTCGCATAAAGTTAAATGATAATTATTAAATCTGGACAAAAGTTTTTGGGAATAAGATTATACATAAGACATGTAAACAGGTTAGCATTGTTGCCCATAGGCCTCTTGTTGAAGTAAAAAATCAAATACATTTCAATTGGTTGTTTGCGTATCAGAATGAATGACTTAGTTTCCTTGAATTTCAGATTTGACAGATTTATGGCCCTTTATTGAATGAAAAATTAGTTTTAAAACGTTTTGTAAAATTCTTAATTCTTGGCTAATTAAAGAAAAAATTAAAATAAATTGAAGAACTGCTTCTTGTTGCCTTCAGGTGAAGATAGGGATCATCGGAGGGTCGGGATTGTCTAACCCAGAAATCCTCAAAAATGGCAAGGAGGTTACCATAGATACGCCATACGGAAAGGTTTGACAGAAATATTAATAGGTTTATATACAGAGACAAAGGTACTAATTATGTGTAGCTCAGTAGGTTTTATTAGAAGCAAAATGCTACTGGTTTGTGGATAAAGTCATACCGTAAATCTGGAAATTTTTGCTGTAGATAAATTTTTAGCAAATTTGCGAGTGCATTGCATTCGCAAAAATATTTTTCTTGAAAATAAATCACCAATAAGAAAATTTAAACAAAGCAGTGGTCATTCGCAAAATTTTGAAACGTAAAAATTAATCAACAGCATTTTGACCCGAATTCGCAAAATAAAATCGACGTAAAAATTTCCAGATTTACGGTATTATATTCATTTTCTAAAAATGTTTGAACTTATTCATGTCAAAATTACCTTGCTTGAAAATGTAAAATTGTAAATTCATAGGCCAGGGCTGACCAGTTACCTAAAACCTGTTGTTTTACTTTGTTAAATAACCGTTTGTTTTATATTCAGCCTTCAGATGTTTTGATCACCGGTGAAATAGAAGGAGTTCCAAGTGTTCTTTTATCAAGGTGAGAGGGAAAATGAAATTCATTAAAAATTGAAAATATACATTTATTTAGAACTTTGAAAGTTTGTTCTTGACCCAGTCTAATAATTTATTCTTGACATTATTTTTACACCGCAACGGAAATTAATTGATTGAAATATTCCAAATTTTAAATACAGCTGAATTCTATTTAACCCTTCCTCTCACACTCTCATTGTGTTTGGCTAGGATTAACCAAAGTAAACAAGCAAGGTATCATGGATTTCTTATTGAATTTGTGTCATTTAATCATTCATTTGAATCATATAATAAAACATTTGTTGCTGTGTTTTATTCAATACAATGATTTAGCAACCTTTAGATTACAATATTCCTACATCGGTAAATTTATTTTATTTATTACCAGACATGGGCGAGGGCACTCTATCAACCCCACCAATGTAAACTATCGAGCCAATATCTGGGCTCTACATGAACTTGGCTGTACCCACCTCCTGGTGACTACGGCCTGCGGTTCTCTACAGCATAACATGCACCCAGCGGACATCGTGGTCATAGACCAGTTTATTGACAGGTAACACAGCTACAGTCAAACATGTTTATACCAAAGTGTCACTACAGTCAAACATTGTAAGCATGATGTCATTGTATGCATGCCAAGGTCAGCATGATGTCATTGTAAGCATGATGTCATTGTAAGCTTATCATTGTGAGCATGGTTTCATTGTAAGCATGTCATTGTAAGCATGAAGTCATAGTTACAAGCAGGATGTCATTGTAAGCATGCCAAGGTCAGCATGATGTCATTGATTGTAAGCATGATGTCATTGTAAGCTTATCATTGTAAGCATGGTTTCATTGTAAGCATGCCAAGGTCAGCATGATATCATGGTAAGCATGCCAAGGTCAGCATGATGTCATTGTAAGCTTATCATTGTAAGCATGGTGTCATTGTAAGCATGTCATTGTAAGCATGATGTGTTACAAGCATGATTTCATTGTAAGCATGTTATGGTAATCATGATGTCATTGTAAGCTTGAAGTCATTGTAATCATGAATTCATTGTACGCATGTCATTGTAAGCATGGTGTCATTGTAAGCATGATTGATATAATGATGTAACCATATTTTATTACATGTATAGCAATTTTGCATGTTTTTTTTTTTTTTCAGAACACAGAAACGCATACAAACCTTTTTTGACGGGGAGTCCACCTCTCCTCCGGGGATTTGTCACCTCCCAATGGCAGAACCCTTCTGTCCCAGGACAAGGAAGGTAGTCTCCTAGCATATAAAACCAGTTATTGTTGCTCAAAAGAAAATCATCAATAAATCAGAATTCAATAAATCTCTGTCTTTAATATAGATTGCTAGCTGTGTGAGTGAATCAAAAGGTTTATCTCTGATTGAATTGAAAAAGGAATGTACATCAGCCATCTGACTAAGATAATGATGTAGTAGACAAAAATACAGATCACGATCTGATCTCAAACACCTGTATCTCAAATACTATCTGTCAATGTGAGTTGGAAGTCACAAGTTCTCTTTCTCTTTGTATCTTATCCTCAATATCAAGAACCTTCAATTATCTCTCAGTTTTTTCTCATTCCTATCGAGTTCAAGATTACAAGTTGAATGTACAATTAAAAATGTTAAACTACTATTGAATAATTGCTCATGATGCTAAAAGATGTTGAATTCGGCATTTTTATTTTGCATAACTGTATCATATCTTAGACTATAGAATAATTGCTCATGATGTTAAAAGATGTTGAATTCGGCATTTTTATGTTGCATTACTGTATCATATCTTTGTTTTCCACAGATTTTATACAAATGTGCTAAAGATCTTGGTATAAGTTGTCATGAGAAGGGGACGATTTTAACAATAGAGGGGCCTCGCTTCTCCTCCCGGGCAGAGAGCAAGCTGTGGAATTCCTGGGGGGCACACTGTGTCAACATGACAACCGTACCTGAGGTATACTGAATACAGGGTCATTTTCGCCCCACTTCATTTTTGCCCTTTCACACTTGCAAACAATTTTGCCCCGTCTTGAATTCACTCGGTCACACTTTTGCTTAAGAAATTATATTGTATTCTTTGAATTCACCCTGTTTTAAATTCACCCAACAGAGGTTAGGGCAAAAGGGGCAAAAATTAAAATGGGGGCGAAAATTTTCCCTTTGTACAGTAGTCGTTTTACATTGTTTTTCTTTGTAAATCCTCTTTCTCTTGCTCTTGGTGATAAGGGAAGTAATTAGTGCTCAAATCTTAATTTTGTCTTAATCAAGAAATTTAATTTGTCTGCTAGATTCTTTTTTTCCCTCTCCAACTGTATTCCCTGAAGTTGGTTATTATTTATTTGTTGGTGGTTTTTAACAGGTGATCCTAGCAAAGGAATTAGGGTTGTGCTACGCAGCATTGGCATTGGTTACGGATTACGACAGCTGGAAGGATGACGAGGAGGCTGTAAGTTCTCAATTTAATTTGGCAAACAAGTTGCCTCAAAAAGAGACTTAATCAAGGATCATTATTGTCCCCCGCTTGAAAAGTGGGGGATATTAATTTGGGTCTCTCCGTCTGAACGTCCGTTTGTCCGTCTTTCTGTCAGTCTGTAATGCTTTCGTTTCCACACTATATCTCAAGAACCCTTTGAGCTTTTATAATGAAATTTTGCATAGCAACTCCTTATGGACTAACCCTATTGATTTTGAGGTCAAAAGGTCAAGGTCATAAATTTGCAAATTCTGTCTGTTATAACACATTCATTTCCGCGCAATATCTCGAGAACCCTTTAAGCTTTTGCAATGAAATTTTACATAACAACACCCTGTGGCCTAAGGAAGACCCCTATTGATTTTGAGGTCAAAAGATCAAAGTTCAAGGTCGTAAATTTATACATTCTCTCTATGTGTAACACTATCCTTTCCGGGCAATATTTCAAGAAGATTTTGAGCTTTTGCAATGTAATTTTATACCAAAACTTCCTAGGAGCTAGAGGGGCAATATTTCAAGAAGATTTTGAGCTTTTGCAATGTAATTTTATACCAAAACTCCCTAGGACCTCTCCCACCCCTCTCAAAGTGTCCCACCCCATTTGTTATGCCCCGCCATGAATATGGCTGGGGCATATAGTGTTTGTCATGTCGGTCTTCCATCCTTCCATCTTTTCGTCCTTCTGTCCTTCCATCTGTCCTTCCGTCACACTTTGTGTTTAGCTCTGTTCAAAGCTCAGTTTCAAAGAAACTGTCCAAGATATTTTCATCAAACTTCATATGCTGATAGATATTGATGAGAGCTATGCAACTGCATCAACATTTTTTGACCTTGCCCTTTCCTTTGACCTTGACCACACTTTTCTTAAATAAGTGTTTAGCTCAGTTTTAAACATACCATTCAAGATGGTGTTATCAAACTTTACATGTTGATACATACTTCTGAGAGCTATTCAAATGCATCACCATTTTGACCTTGACCTTTCCTTTGACCTTGACCTCACTTACCTTTAATTAGTGTTTAGCTCAATTTTAAAGATACCATTCTAGATATTTTTATCAAACTTCATATGTTGATACATATTGATGAGAGATATGCAACTGCATCAACATTTTTGACCTTGACCTTTCATCTGACCTTGACCTCACTTTTATCAAATTGTTTTTAAGTCTTTAAGAAACCATTCATAATATTTTTTTCAACTTCATATGCTGAAACATACTGATGAGAGCTTTTCAACTGCATCAACAGTTTTTGACCTTGGCATTTCCTTTGACCTTGACCTCATTTTAATGAAATTAGTGTCAAACTTCATATGCTGATACATACTAATGTAAGCAATTCAACTGCATCACTATTCAAGATATTCTGATCAAATTTCATACACTAATACAAATTTTCATGTTGCATTACTAATATACCCTCGGGGGGACATTCATGTCCTATGGACATATTTCTATAGCACAGGGGCATGAGGAGAGTTATTACGCATAAAACAGGCTCTCGGCGGACTTTATATTCTTATTACATTAGAGCTGTTTGATAAAGGTTAAATTAGACACCATGCATTGAGTAAATTTTTGACAATATCGAATGTGAATATATACATGTATGTGACTTCATCTTTGCATATAATTTTCGCCAGTTTAAAGCGGTTCCGTGGTGTAGTGGTATGTCTCTCGCTTCACATGTGAGAGGTCCCGGTTCGAATCCCGGACGATCCATTTTCTTCTTTTTTCCGAAATACTTTTTTTTACTAAATGATAGTATTCAGCATGTGAAATGAAAAATTTATGAGGTCTGACTTACATTACATTACAGTGTGATAAATATTCCATATAAAAAGAATCTTCTATACATATAATAAAGAATAGGCAATCAAATCTTTTATATCCATATTGGCATATATTATTTGCTTATATCAGTATACATTTATACATTTAATAAATCTACAAATTCAGTCAGCGGGATCCGACTCCCCCCCATCCCCCCCATGCCCCGAACTGCGCATGGTTTACTTTTTCCCTAAGTGGGGGACACAAATTCTCTGAATTAGCTTGTTATATTTATTGCTGTTGTAAAGTTTCAAATCCAAATGGCTACTTTTCTCTTCCTTTGTTATGAGTACAAACCAGTAGAGCTACGGTCTTGACAGAGACTTACAGTTTTGTTGGTGTCATAGAGAATGTTTTACAACTATTACAGGTGAATATTGAGAGCGTACTGAAGACATTCCAGACAAATGCTGCTAATGCAACCAAAACGATCCTGAAAGCCATTCCAGTCATTGCTGGCGAAGACTGGACAGCAACAATAGCAGAAAACAAGGCAAGTCACTGATATAGGTCATAGAGAAATCAGAGAAGTAGGTCAAAGTGAAAAAGGTCAAAGTGAAAAAGGTCACTGTGAAATAGGTCATAATACTGAAATGGGTCATGGTGAAATAGGTCATCATAAAGTAGGTCGTAAGGAAGTAGGTCAAAATGAAACAGATCATAGTGAAATAGGTCAAAATAAATGCAGGAACAGTTATATTTCTTTAAGTCCCGTGTTGGCATATTGTGCCAAGTGGAATTTGAATAACTTCATTAAAAGCAGGTACTTGACCTGAAATTTTACATCAAATTTAATATGATGTTAAAGACTTCCTGTAGTACTCTCTACATGTATTAATAATTACGAAATATGGTATCATTTTAAACGATCGTTTTGGTTGCATTAACGATATCTATCTGGATATAAATAATGTTTGGTCAGGTAATCTGAAGGGCCTTACAGTTAATTTGATCACGTACCAGCCCAAATTTATGTCAAGATAGATGTTCAAAAATGATACCTATTTGTTTTATTTACCTTTGTGACCGAATTGTAATATATTTCTGCATGACTATAATCACTCATGCATGAATTCTTTCTTGTATCTTTCAAACCTCCACGTCTTAAGTTGGATCAGTCAATCCTTATGACATCTCAGAGAAATACATCAGATGTTTTTGATGTGAAGGACCTGTGTTCATTGCTTAAGATCATAAGATTTTTATTTTTATTTTTACAGAAAGCTGTCCAGATGAACACACTGCTGCCACACGGTTATTAACATTGTGGACTGTTTTTACTGAAAATAAAACAAAGAAATCTGTCCTAGTGGCAATTTTAAAATAACCTGATTATGTGCCTCTTTTGTAAACCTAGGTTTTAGAACGAATTTTTTATTTGAATATTTTGAACTTGGACTACCAGGGTATATTCATATTATGATCATTCTAGTCATTGATATTATAATAGTGAACTTAGTAGTGACAGTAACATAAAGTAAAAGTTTATTAAACCAGGATGTACATTATTAGTGTACCATATACAGTGACTTTATAATTGGAAAAGGGACTTCCATGAACTATAATATCTTTTTAGAACAAATTAGATGTTGTTGTTGTTACAATGAACTATAATTTTAAATCATTTTGTAATGAAATTGATCAGAATAGACAAATTGAGCCAATCAATACTAAGTAATACAATTAATAATGCAACATTAATATTAAGATTCTTGACCAGGAGTAATAAAATTAGGGACTTTGAAGAAGATAAGTAAAAGAGCATAGGGCTAGAATTCCTGCAGTGCAGATATGGGGACCGAGTCTATAAATATTAATTACTAATGTATGTTTACCTGTATTTGAGGTGGTGCCATGTAGGGGTTCATAGGTCAACAGACAGACCTACAGACAAAGTGTTTGTAGCATGTAATGGTAAGACAGCCAATAGAAAGTACTTATATATCCAGGACCATGAAAACTCTCTGAGCACAAAATACCCTGTTTTGCCTGAAGACGTCATTCTATTCATTCATTCTTCAATTCCTTTTAATCACTCTTTCACTTAACCTCTCCTTTTGGACTACTCTTGGAATTAATCTACATGTATTGGACTCTCTATTTTGGGGGATTTTAGTCCTATGCTCCTTTATATTTGTGATGGATCTTATAAACTTTTGTATAAAAAGTGTTTAGGTTTATTCTGATTATATTTTTGGAAACTGTCAATCAAAAATCTATACGATCACGGTGACTTTGGATTAATAAACTTTGAAACAAACGGAAATGTTAACATTGTCTTACATTTTCAACAATATTAAAGTAATAGAAAAACTGGTATAATTGGTCATTGGACAACATTTATAACTGCTGCATCTGAAGATGTGATAAAAAAGACTGAACTGATTAGGTCCAATTAAGCCTTTCTGATCATGTTCTGTCCCTTGTCTGTCAATATTAATGTCAACGGTTGTTTAGTTAGAGATTAGCCTCTTTTTGAAAAATTGTTCAAAATGGAAAATCAAAACCCCAAATTTGAAAAAAAAAAAAAAACCTATTTCCATATCCTCTCAGTAGTGTCATATTTGCATGAGTGCTCTAAATGTGCAATAGACATACATGTAATTTTTGTTACATATGGCTGTTTCTTCTACAGCTGGGAATAGAAGTTACTAACTTCTTAGATTAAACAAATTATCTTCATTTCCTAGTTTGTAAGGGGAAAGAATGGAGGCATACAAGCCAAGGACAATCCCCTGCTTTGAAAAATCGTATTTTAATGGAACTAACCCCCACCACCACCACCATTTTCCACTAAATATTCCTAACTAGCAAATCTTTTATAAAATAAATGAAATGTTTTAAAGATACCAGTACAGAAAACAAAATTTTAGGAATATCTTTTCCTTGAACTTCAAAATTCAGTAAAACATTGTTTCATAGCAGGGGTTTGTCCTCGCCTTGTACACCTTCTTTCTTTCCGATTCAATTTTTGCAAAGTTAGGAATTTATTCAGCTCAAATCATGTTGAAATACTGAATCAAACTTCATGGGATAATATGTTGCATTGAAACAACTTTATACATTATCATATTATTGCAGAAAAGATGAAAATTATTGAGATTTCCTTTACCAGGGTGATTACCCTTAATGTCTAATTTCCTCTTGAAAGTCACAAAAAGAAGCTTTTCAAGGAACAAATAATTTATTCAATAAATAAATAAATATATGATTAAGACATATAAGAACTCTTGATGCTGAGGTATATGCATTTCATGATAACGTCTGTGACATTAAACATCTCCAAGATTTTAGAACATATTTACATTGTCATATACATTGTATAACTCATTTTTCACAAAGTCAAACTCAATAGAAAAGTCTTCTTTACTCTATGACATTGTCACAGAGCTACTAAATAATAAATGAACATTGAAAGTCATTGATCAAATGATCTATTCAGAGAAAACTCAAGAAATTGTCCTTTTACAATGACACTAGGTAAAACAATGTACACATGTTGAAAGAATGTCACACAAAAAGGAATCACTGGCATTTAGATCACTTCTGTCCAAGTCTTAATAACACATTGAAATTCATAGCTGGACAAGACTACAATTTGGCAGCAACACTTTAATTCCTTTAGACAGGCACAAGAGCTGTACAGGGGTTGGTTACGTGGTCGTCGGTGGGAGGGCAGGTGTGGTTCAGGAGATGCTCGTACCGGCGGAGTTTCTCGTTGAAGAGGTAGCGGATGCCGTTGTTGATGAATGGCACACACTTCTTGTCCCAGTGTTCCCTGTCACACTCTGTCCACAACATGACGGCTTGCCGGATCTTGGTGGTCAGGTCCTCGTCCAGACTGTTGAACCGGTTACCGTACAGCTGACGAATGGTAAACAACCTCCAAACCAGTCTCTTGGCCATCAGGTGGGGCTTGCCTCCAGCGTACGAGTGCAGTGAACACAGATCGACGGGAGTAATGGTGACTGGGGCACGCTCCGTCGGCCTGGTGATCCAGTACTTATCGAGGTTCTCGGGAGTCTCGTGGAGTATCTCGTTGATTCCATCACACTGCTTGCAGTCGTCAGGGTTTGACTTGATGCTGCTCAAGGTCCAGGCTCGGTTCTCGGCATGGAAATCGGAGTAGCTGATTCTACGTCTCTTCAGTGGAAGTGGGTTGAAGTCCTCTGAGGTAGATTCCACAGGGAATAAACGCTTCTTAGATTTTGGAGACATGGAGGATGGGACAGCGAGAGTTCTGATGTCATCATGTAGTGTCTGCTCACTCTGATGGACCCGGATGCTTGGAATGACCAATGCCAAGGCAGTAGTTGGTTTGTCTTGGTTTGTGGAGGTCTGTGATCCCAGAACCTGACGATCATAAGGCTTTGTGAGGAGACTAATTGGATGCCGTGTAGCTACACTGGTGGTGGAGAGTGGTGCTTGATGGATTGGAACTTGTGGTGCAGAAGAAGCCCCTTGTGAAACAGAGGAAGTTGTTGAAGTACAAGGTGGGCTTGGCACTGAAGGACTGACAGGTGGCTCTGCTGTAAGGTTTGCAGAACTGGACAGAGAAATAGTTGGACGTGATGTGGCTCCTGTTGACTCTGGTTGTAGGGATATTGGAGGCAGTGAGTTTGGCTGCTGTGGACGAGACACTGGAGGAGTGACACGTGTCTCTGTAGTACACCTCTGTTGTGAAGGCAGCTGCCCTGGTGGAAGACATGGTGGTGGCTGAGTAGTCGTCTGAGGATTTGGCATCTGGTGACAGGGTTGGATGTCTAGTGATGAAGGTCTCTTTGGAGGTGGTGGTAGCTGACTTGTCTGGACATTTGCTGCAGGTACAGGGATCTGTTGAGAAGGTTGTACCATAGTGGTCAGTGACCTGGATTGTGACATCTGTGTGGTGGTCTGCTGTGATGGGAGAGGCTGGGCCATTGTTGCTTGTGTTGGCAGCTTCTGGAATGGTTGCTGAGGAGGATTCTGATGAGATGGAAATGTCTGTGAGGGCACCTGCTGGAATGCTGAAGATTGCATCATTCTCTCCTTCTGTGGAGGCACCACTTGAGTCACTTTTGCTTGCATTGGCTTCTGTTGTGAATTGGACATCTGAGTTGTCTGTGTTGATGACTTCTGAGTCACTGTGGTCTTCCCGGAAGATGATGTGGTGGAGTTGGTTCTCTGCTGGGCTTCTGCAATTTGGCGCTTTATTGCAAGTTTGATGGTCAGGACATCTTGTTGTGTCAAGAAACCATTTTGGATGAGATGGTTGATTATGAGGAAGTATGTCTCCCGATGCCTAACAAAACGCCTTAGAGTTGATGATAGTAAATCTATCAGTTGCTCCTTAGTTTTCCCAAACTTGTAGATGTACCCGAGGTAATTTCTGGCCTCCACTTTGATCAACACATTGCTCCTGGTAACTAAAGCTGACTGGAGTGTATGAGCTTGTTGAGATCCACCTGTGGCTGAAGTAGATGACATCTTTTGGGATGCTAAGTCTGCTGATGTTGCTGGCACTGATAGGGGTTTTGTTGTGGCTGAAGTTGATGACACTGGTTGGGGTTTTGTTGCAGTTGAAGATGCTGGCTCTGGTAGGGGGTTTGTTGTGACTGTAGTCATTGGCACTGGTAATGGTTTTATTGTGGCTGAAGTTGATGGCACAGGTACTGGTTTTGTTGTGGCTGGCACTGGTAGGGGTTTGATTGTGGCTGAAGTTGCTGGCTCTGTTAAGGGTCTCGTTGTGGCTGAGGTTGCTGGCACTGGTAGGGATTTGATTGTGGCTGATGTTGCTGGCACTTGCAGGGGTTTCTTTGTGGCTGAAGTTGCTGGTACTAGTAATGTGGCTGAAGATGGTGTCCTTGTTACAGAGGATTGCAGTTGAGTTGCTTGTAGAGGCTGCCTTGGTGCTGATCCTTCTGTCATGGGTAACTGGGTTGGTGTACATACTGCTTCTCTCTGGGAGTTGACTGGAGGTTTCTGAGGAACATTAACAGTAGATGGCAAGTTCTGTCTGTGTGATGATGATATCTCGGTAGTTGACCCTTCCACAAACCTCTGTACTTTGGACCGTATGATTGGTGATATCCAGGTGTAATCCCTTAGACGTGGTGGAACAGTTGTGTAGTGTGTTGATGAACTGCTAATGGGCTGCTCCTGTGAGGATGTGTGGCTGGTCTCAGTCAGGCAAGAGGAGTCACACGAGGATTCCTGGCTGCTGGAGTTGATGGTTGGAGGAGTGAGAGGATTAACAACAGTGTTGGTCCTGCTAATGACGATTGGTGGCACTCTCTGTGTCTCCACGCTTGGCTTCGTTGTCACAACAGCAGTTTTCTTGATGATGATTGGTGGAACTCTAGGTGGTTGGTTGTCTGACTTTGGAGAAGGCTTTGGAGTTGATGCAAAGCTGACTGGTGACTTCGCTGTCTGGTGCAGTGGTGACTCAGGAGGATGATGGACATGTACTGCTGCATAGGTGTGGTCAGTTGTTCCAAGGGTTTTCTGATGAGACATGGCAGCATCTGATGCATTGCATGGTTTGTCAAATGGGACCTTGCTGGGTGACTGTAGCATGGAAAGGCGTTTGGCTCTGGCTGGAGTAGACAGGGCCCTCTTCTGTTTCTCCTTCATCATTCTCCTGATGTGGGCTTTGGAGGGATTTGGTTTAGTGACTTTCACTTTCTTTGTTCTGAAGCATGTAACAGGTAGACTCGCATCCAGATCCTCTGTGGAACCGGTGAAGTAGTTCTGCTTCTGTCTGGAGTTCAGCTCAACCCACTGGACATCACTGGCCTGTTGCACATTGGAGGAATCTGACACATCCACAGTCTGTCTTCTTTGGACCACCTTAGAGACACTCTTCTGGACCCTGGCGGCAAGTTTCCTGATCTTCATAACAAAGCCCTTCTTTCTTGGTGGGGATCCCCTCTCTTTTGGATTAGCCTTCAGTCTCTGGGGTGTTGGCACGTAGCTGGCTGCATGTCCACTTCTTTGTTGAACATTGCTGGAGAAGAGACCTTGCCTTGCTTTAACATCCACAGGACTGGACTGGTGGTTCTGGGAGGCAGGTCTCAGCTGAAGCTTGGGTGTGGACTGATGTCGAGGAAGTTGTCTTCGGATGATTTTCCCATGGACAGGACATGGTTGTTTCCCTTTCTGCTTCCACAACTTGACTCGAGATCGGGTGAGATACCTTGATCCCAGGTGGAGGTTCATCAGTGTGAGAGGTGATGGAGATCGTGTGTGGGATCTGGTTAGATACTGAGGATAGCACCTGTTGTCGAGTCTCAAGGGAGTAGGACTGGACTCAAGGATCTGGCAGTGAGATGGATGGTGAGATGTGGGAATTCTGTATCTCGGCCTCCTTAGAGATTGTGTTGTGGTGGACTTCAGTGGTTGGTTGGCTGTTGGTGGGTCGACTCTGGACTGATGAACTCCATCCACTGGGATCCTTAGAGGAGAAGGACTGGAGTGGCGGGTATAGGTCGGGAGCCTCACATTGACCGGATGAATGGGGTGAAGGTCACAGCTCTCAAGGTCACTGTCCATCTGCTGGCTCTGTAACACTTGTGGCTGATGGAGGACTGATGGGTTGACATCCATCTGTGAATAAGAATTACACAATTAGTCTTGTTGGGACAAAAAATCAATTATATATGTATATAACAAATACATAGGATAACACTATCAACTAGCTACAACACAAAATTTTCCACAATCCAGATACGTTGAACTATCAGAAATATGTAGAATATTTAATTAGAAAGAACTAAATGTGTCACTGTAACCTGAATCCCCTATAACATGCAGTTTTGGAAATGACAAAATATCATAAAGCTGCTTTTTTGTTAATGTTAGCATCGGTTGTCCATACCAAAACATACTACAAGGGTCATTCAGTATATATAAATAATGCATTCTCGATTGGCCTATACACATGTCTAAGGTCTTTGTACTGATTTCAATTAATGACCTTCAAAATTAAATAAAGTTTATATTATTATATGTACATATATGTGATTGAATAAGCTCTTTGACTTGCCGAAATGCCAATTGTAAAAATAAATTTTATTTAACTGCATGTGACCTTTAAATCATACATAAGGATTTTCTACTTTGGACTAAAATAGATTAAGAAATTCAAAATTGAGAATTTCTTTTGCACTGGTTTAAGGAAAACACTTTAAAGGTACTTGGACACAGATTTGAAGTTAATTTTTTCTGTATAATATCAAAAATTATATATTTTAATAGCATTTCACACAAAAATTTAATTAAAAATCTTTTTTCATTTAAAAGTTATTAAAACTTCAAATTTTTTGGCGGGTTTGATTGACACATCCTTGCACCTTCACAAATTTTAACTTTATTCTTAATCCTTCGGTAAAGTGGCAGTCTTTTTGTGTATTAATGAGAAATATTAAAACTTTAATCCAGAAAAATAATTTTTTTTCAGAGTAGAAATGTTACAAAGCAAAATTCCTTCACAAGTATTGTCATTCCGAACTAAATCTTGTGTGCAAATCGATCACACTCATGTTATGTACACAGTTTTTTGTAAACAGGGCAGGAGCTCTGTTATTGTTGATTGTTTACGATTCACCGGGTGCGTTCAATAGTCAAAGTCTGCTCACCACAACTGCACGGACTGAGAATATATTGTGTGTTTGTTTTGCTTTCGAACATGTCTACTCTGATTTTTCTGGATTATAGTATTAATATTTTTCATTTATACACAACAAGATTGCCACTTTCCCTAAGTATTAAGAGTTAACTTAAAATTTGTGAAAGTGCAAGGATGTGTCAATCAAACCCGCCAAAAAATTTAAAGTTATAATAACTTTTAAAATAAATAAGATTTGTAATTAATTTTTGTGTGAAATGCTATTAAAATATATAAGTTTATATAAATATAAAATATATATAAATATATAAAATATATAAATATTATACAGAAAAAATTATCCCCAAATCTGTGTCCAATTACTTTAAATAAAGCCAACAGACCATGAATCCTGCATGATAAAATATAATTCTCATTTCTTATTTAACAGTAAATGTGGATTATAACTACTTATCAGATGTATTATGTATGGATAAATGTATAAATAAGTAATGTTTCTGTTTGCTGCTTTTTTATACCCAGTACTTATGTACTACAGAAATATATATGTACTGGATTGAAGGCATATTCCCAATATTTGCTTGGTAAAATCATGAGCAAATGGCCCACCCTTACTTATCATGTAAGTATAAATTTTATGCAAACTCATGTGAACATCTCACGAACAACCATTCGATCATAATTAGAGGATTTAGTAGAAGTTTTACGCGCAAATTTTACAGATTAAAGTGCAAAGACCTGTGAATTCCTAAAAATTTGAACTGATTCATTTTAGTTAACAATGCATTAAATATCATTTAAACCTTTGGTCAATGCATTATGACATCACGAAATGCATCAATTTCCTCATATTCTGAAAAAATCTACAAAACCAGTCAATTTTTAAAGCTATTTTTCAATATTTAGGGCGTTTTTATTGCAGAGAAACCAGTTTAGGTTTCAGTTCAGTTTTCCAAACTTTCTATTTATTTGCAAAACCTGGAACGAACTAGTTTCAAACCAAAACTATTTTTTTCGTTTATCGGCTTTAAACTGAAACTAGTTTCCTGAAAACTTTAAACCACCTCCGGGTGCGGTTTTGGTTTCTTTTCAGCATGGCGAATGCAGAGTTTTTGGTGTTGCAATGTGACCAATGTGGGTAGCAATATAACAGAATCGACGAGTTTTCGGGGCACATATGCTGTGTAAAAAGTCATTGTTGTTTCTCTTCAATTATTTGATCAAGTTGTAAAAAATGTAACCATGTTACATACATAAAGACAAATACTAAAGTTAATTAAAAAAAGCAGAGACATAAATAAATGTTCTTTATGTCAATGATAAAAGTAGATCCATTCTTGTTAGCTGAAGTTATGGTCACCATATATCAAAGATGGAGCTAACATGGTAATTAGGGACTCAAAGGTATGTCTGTTCATTCTAAATCTGTCACGGAAATCATCCATTCTATACAAGGTTAGTATTGCCTCAACATAATTTGTGACACGAGCTTTCCGTTGTCGCCTCTTTTTTATAAGAAACTGGGTAGAACTCAGCATGGATATTACAGTTACACTCTCATGTAAATGAGAAGATAAGTTGTAGAAATATCTTCAGATTGTAAGAAAAAATCAAGAAGGCATGTCAGTTCTATGTCATTGATCTTTGATGTGTGTGTGTTTTTTTAACTGAAACTTTCCATTTAGAGCAAAACCTTTAAACCATAAAACCGGTTTCAAAATTAATGAAAACTATTTTCAAACCATAAACCTAAACAAAAACTAGTTTTTGATCAATAAATTCACCCTTTAGGGAGTGCAACCTAGCTCTTATCTAAAATAAGGAACTAGTAAATGATACAAGTTATAACTGTTTCTGAGGATTACAATATATGTTTTATTTTTTAGAGGGTGCACTCATATTATTTTTCTTCTCTGAAAGTACTCAAATATACATGTTTACATTAAAATTCAAGAACATTACAATTCCATAAAACCTGTGTTCCAAGACCTGGAGTTTAAAGAGAAAAATTTTAACTGGATATGAAAATCTATATATATGTTTCTACTTTAATTTGATGTTTCAAATGGAACATAAAGTGTTAGTCAATAAATTGATGTATCTAAAGGGCAATTTTATGCATAAAATTAACCGAGCTCTTGACAGATAAAAGTGTAAAATTTGCAATTTAATATTTCTTGTCCTATGTATTCTGTAAGTTTTGACCCCCTGTTCTAGCCACATCCTACGACCAGGTGTCATGTTTTGAATGAAACTGAATCTAAATTTTTTGAAGATGCTTTTAAATTCAAGGCAGAGATGTCTGCCACCCTACCCTTGAGGACAGGGTCATGATTTGAACAAAACTGAATCTACACTATATGGAAATGCTTCCATATTTATATGACTTATGAAGGTTTTTATTCTTGAGAAGATTTTTTCCCCTATAATATATGATCATTTGTAAAACTAATTCCAATGTATGGACCCAACCTACTACTGCAGGATGCCTTGTACAAACTTGAATCTACAATACTTGTGGAGGTTTCCAAATCAAAATATCAATACATGTACATGTTCTAATCATGTTTTTGCATGGATTTTTATAGGACTTGTCTCATGTTTCTAAATTTATTATTTAATAATTAAAATAGTAAATAATTAAAAGCATATTAGGTTCATTAAAACAGTTTATAAAGATTATTTTGTTTTTTTTGAGTTTTTACTGTGGATTTATTGCAGTAATTAACCAATTATTAGCTCGGAACTTTTGCTGTACTTTAAATTATTTATTTTGTTCTATGCTGACGATACAGTTAAGACACCACAAATTACCCGGTACTTCTTATTTCATATCATGCTAATAAGCATTGGTATCTAAGGCTGGATTCAAGAAAATTTTATTTGTCTAAAACTGTATTATTTTTTCCCTTTTATAGGGTACAAATGTCAAGACCTTTTCTAAGACTTCCAAAAACCTTGAATCTTATAGAGATGAATAAAATGAAAATTGTTGCATGAAAAAATTTCATTTTCAAGCTTCATTTTGATGCATTTCAAATTAAATATTAATTTTTGGAGTTATTCGTTCCTGGCTGAGGATCGGATATCCTTAATTGCCAGCTTGATTTGTTTGATAAAGTTGTCACTCCAGTACTTTTGTATGAATGTGAAATATGGGGTTTTGAGAACATTGATATAATTGAACACGTTCATCTTAAATATTTGAAATATATTTTTTAAGCTAAAAAGTAGTATACTCCTAGATATATGGTTTATGGGGAAACAGGTCGCTTCCCTTTGTATATAACAGTTTATATAAGAATGATATCCTATTGGACAAAATTATTGGTAAGCCCTGAAAATAAGAGTGTTTTTGTTAAATACTGTAGATTGAAGTACTTTTTTCCGCGTGGTATTAATTTATGCTGTGTACGCGGTCACAAATTTTCCGTGGAAATTTGTCAAAGCATACTGAATACAAGTTTATCTTTTAAAAAAGATAGGTGAGTTAGCGCCGTAGCAATTTTTAAACATGGAAATGAGGACCCATGATCAAGTGATTTATTTTCCTGAATTCTTTAATTTTTATCGAGGCTGGAGAGTGATACTGTTATAATTGATTTATGAAGTGTATTTTATAGACACAAAGGTAAAGAAATGAGGGGGGATTTTTGTGTTGACTTATTGGAGTTTTGGCGCAATGGAACATTTATGACCTTTACTGGAGAGGGGGGAGACTTTATATGCACTGGCGGATTTAGAGGGGGGCAGGGGGCCCGGTCCCCCCTTTTGAGTCCATAAAATACATAATATTTGATAAATCAATGGATTTTTTGTGTGTGTAGCTGTGGGTCCCTATCCTGACCTCAAACTGGTCTCCCCTTTCAAAATTTCTGGATCCGCCACTGATACAATATGGAGAAGTTGCAGATTGAGGCATTGTATTAGCTGGTTTAAGAATAAAATTTCTTGGCAGTGTAGCAAACAAAATACAGGGGAGTTAGAATAGGAATATAGAAAATAACTCAAAGTGTATGTTGTATAAAGAAATCCAGAGAGTTCCGAATGTGAAGTAGCTTGCTCCTTAGGGTCATCTTTGTCAAGAAATATTAGGTTAAAAGCAATACACATTAGAATTTTTTAAAAATAAATAATGGATTTATTCGTTATTTTTAGTGTAAATTCTTGTTTCTGGAATTTGTAAAGTTGGCTGAATTGACCAATCAGAAATTAGAGTCTATCTTTGGTTGTGCTTAGACGTAAAAGAAACCCTGCCTTGTCCTTTTTTAGAACAATCAGATAATGACTTGGGCTTTTCCGTCAGAAAAAAACCGGAAAATTTGAAGTATTACAAATATGTAGTTATCTTTAAAGTGTAAGCTACACAATAAATAAACATAGTACATGATTCAACGGAATTGTTATCGTACGGTCTATCTATAGTAGTTTTCAGTTTTCCCAGAATGCACGACCGTGAAGCCGAGCATGCGTATTCAAGAAATTTGGACTAACGTAGTTGCTAGCGCTCGAGAGCGCTAGCAATAAATGTAGGGCATATAGTGACAGTCAAGGAAATACGCGTAATTTTCTACCCGCGGATTAAACAGAGATTGAGATTCCGCGGAATTATGACCCCGTGGAAAAGTACGTCTACAGTATAGGCATTTATTTGAACAGTTTTGTTCAGAAAGTCATAAGAACCCTTGGATTTTATGTATTAAGAATATACTTGATAGGTGTGGTTTCTCAAATATATTAAATATTAAATGGCTAAAAGCTATAGTTGAACAACGTCTTACATAAAAAAGTGGCAAAGTAATATGCGGGATTCATCTAAAGGTCTTATGTATCGTATCTTCAAAAAAGAATTTGGATATGAAAAATACTTAGACTTACTACCAAAAAAATATATAACAATTATAATTAAATTAAGAACAGCAATTCATCATCTCCCAGTTGAGAATGGGAGATGGTTTGGAATTCCCAAAAAATGATGGACTATGTAATCTGTGTAATAATGGACAAATAGCTGATGAATATCACTAAATTTTAGAATGTGAAATTTTTTCAGAATGCAGAAAAAAATATCTACCTTGTAAATATTGTAATAGACCAATTTTTTTTTTTCAAATTTTCAGAATTGTTGTCATCTGCTGACTCTGAAGTATTAATTAAACTATGCAGTTACATGAATAGAATATATGAAAAAGTCTGTCCTCCATAATAAATTTTTTTCATAATATGAATGTATTTCCGCCATTTCACGTGTATCTTGTTGTTTTTCTTGTATATATTGTACATACATTGTAGAACCTCATGTACCATTAATTGGTTTGAGTGAATAAATTGAACTTGAACTTGAACTTGGAAGAAACCCCTTGAATTAAGGTTATCCGATCCTCAGGTTCTGAAAATCAGGCATTGAGTAATTGAAAATGCTCACAAGAATGTCTCTAAATTCTCAAATTAAAATGTATTTACCCATGGCGTTTCTTCAAACTTCATCTTTAAATTTAATCATATTATGTAGGGAAAATTAGTAAAACTCAAATAATTTTTCCGGAAATGCGATTTGAACTACCTACTGCATATTTTTAATTGATAATTGATAAAAAAAAATACATTTTAGGAATAAAAATCATAGGTACCCAGGCTTTTAAAGAAAATTGCATGAATTTTACACTTATTTGGTACTTTACTTTCTCTTACTTCCATCGTTTCGTAATGCATAGTGTATGAAGTGTTTCCTTTCAAAGAAAACACCGTACATCACTTCTAATTTTAAATCATGCTTATAAACATTGTTAACGAAGGCTAAATAAAAAAAAATGATTTTTTAAAAATATGCACTTTTGCTTAATTTTATGGGGTACAAATGTCAACTTTTTTAACACCATTTGTTAAAACTTTAAATAACATTGAATCATACGTAGAGGCATAAAATGAAAATTGTTGCATGAAAAAATTTCAATTTCAAGCTTTATTTTAAGACTTTTTGAATTAAATTATAAATTAAAGAGTTATCCTTCCTGGCTGAGGATCGTATATCCTTAAAAATTAATTAGACTGCGACCATGAGACCCTGTTACATTAAAGTTGACAATGGCTGATCAGCTATTCACTAAAATATATGCAATACAAAGTGAATGTTCTGCATTATGGACAACCAAAATCACTGATTTTGTCTATATGAAATGGGATATCCACCCTTATATTATATATATAACTGGTAGCAAGGAAAAATCTGTAGTACTTAATTTTCACCTATGACATCCAGACCAGTAATTTTACAAATATCTGATTAATATACACATGTTAACAAAGTTTGAATTTCATCTCTACATATCACTGAAACTGGAGGTACTGTCGGCAATGAGCTCACTAAATGATACCCCGCCTCCCATAGGAATATAATGTCAGTGTCCATGTTTTGCTATGGGAAACCCAAAATATGTGTCAGATAGATCAAGAAGTAAAATAGGAGGAAAGATTCTGTGAGAGTTTTATCAAATTTCTTTCAGTGTTATGAGAGGAGTTGTGGATAAGAGATGAGTACCCCAAAGCATAACAGATGGACGAATGGACAGCTGGACAGACATACCAATTACTATGTACTCTCCTTCTTTTCAAGCGGGGGTTATAAATATTTGTAATACAAAGTTGTGGTAAGACTTTTTATTTGATACCAACAACTATGACCTTTTGACCTTGACCTTGGAGATTTGCATCCTTGTGAAAAAACTTTAACCTTGGCCATAACTTTTGAACGGTAAGGGACAGGGCTTTCATACTTCACATATGTAATCCTTGTGAGAAGACCCTTCATTGAATACCAAGAACTTTGACCCTTTAACCTTGACCTTGGAGTTTGATCTACTTTCAAAAAGAAAACCTTGATTTTAACTTTAAAAGGGTTATGGCTAGTGCTTTCATACTTTACATATATCACCCTTGTGACAAGACCTTTCTTAGGGTACCACCTAATTTGACCTTGACCTTGGAATTTGATCTACTTTTCAAAATTGGTAACCTTGACCATAACTTTTAAAGGGTTAAGGCTAGGACTTCCATACTTCACATATGTATTTTTGTGGCAAGGCCTTTCATTAGATACCAATAACCTTGACCTTTTGACCTTGACCTTGGGGATTTCTGTACTTATGATAAAACTTTGACCTTGGCCATAACTTTTGAATGCCAAGGGCTAGGGCTTCCATCCTTCACATATGAATTCTTTGTGGCAAGTCCTTTCATTGGATACTAATTACTTTGACCTTGGAGATGTCCTACTTACGAAAAACTTAACCTTGGCCTACTTTCATATTTCACAATTGTATTTCCAGTGAGAATACCCTACTTTGGATACCAATATATTGAATTTGCATTTAAGAAAAGTTTAATCTTCTGTATGTTGCCATACGGGGGCATCAGTGTTTCACAAACACATCTTGTTTGTTCTACACCAATTCTCTGAGAAGAGAATATATGGTCTGTCTATTACTTATCTTCCCCTAGTACAGGGTGTAGCCTATCTTTTGACCAAATTTGGATCCCCTTTACCAAAAGATACTCTAGTATCTCCAATAGAGGAAAGAAGTTGAGTTTGGTCATAATTTGCTGGGTGGGTCTTTAGAAGAAGAAAATGTGAACAGTTCATGATGAGACATCAGACAAATTTTGACTAGAAAAAGCACACTTCAGCCTTTGGCTCAGGTGACCTAAAACTCTATGTAATGCATTCTCATGGTCCATAAATATATATAAAATATGTAAAATTGTCTTTACCTTATTTCCTTTTCTTTGCTTCTGCTCAATCTTCTGGTTACCTTAGGTAACTTGGTAATCTGAAATCAAAGAAAAAAGAAGGTTGTTAACTGCAAAAATCAGTGAATCATATAGTACTTTTAAAAATTTTAGATAACTTTTGAATTTATTATTTTACATTTATTAAAATCAATTTCTTATTTCATCACATTCTCATTACATGAATAATGACAACACCATATGCTTGTACCCAAATCTTAAAACTTGCATAGGTTTTTGAAGTTTCAATGTTGTTAACCTTCTCTGAGGTGACAAAACATGCTACTTTTAATATTGGCTTCCATTTAATGAAAATAAACAAAATAAATGTTTTTACACATGAAAGTGTGTTAATCATTTTGTATTCTGTTTTCACAAAAAGTGAGGTGATATTAAATCTCATTTGTCTGTCAGTCTGTTGTTCTGTCTTTCCATCACAAAAACTAAATAAATAAGAAATAGGACTTTCAAAATACACAATATTTTTGATCTTGTGACCTTGTCCATCAAGTTTTACATACTTTTCAAAAAATGCTCATTTTTACGCCCCCTGATCGAAAGATCAAGGAGGTATATTGTTTTTGCCCTGTCTGTATGTCTGTTTTTAGTCCTCTACCGGTGAAACCTGAGGGGACTATATGCTTCCTCTGCATCTGTCTGTCTGTCTGTTTATCCATCCGTCCATCCATAAGTCTGTCTGTCCTACTTGGTTTTCCGCACTTTTTTTCTAAGCGCTTGCAGATATTGAGCTGAAGTTTGGTATGTGAGTGTAACTTGATGAGTTACAGACCAAAATTAAATTTCGTTTCATTTCATTGATTTTTGACAGAATTGTGGCATTTTTTCATTTTTCATAAGGGTTTAAGGTCGGGTTTGTGCTGCGCTACATTCCGAAAGTCAACACGAAATAAACACGAAGTAAATACGAAGCGAGAAAAAGATGTTGAAAAAATGAGTTGAATTTTCGTTTTTATGTGGATTATTTTATTAGATTAAAGGCATCCACAACCTCAAAATCAAGCATTTTTAACTTAGTCATACTGGTAATTTTTGCATAAAAAGGAGAATGTTTTTTCTGTCTGCCTGTTGTCAACATTAACCTAGCCCATAACTATTGAGTGGGTAGGGCTATTATTTCATATTTCACAGGTATATTCTTTGTGATAAGACCTTTCTTTGGGTACCACCAAATTTGACCTCTTGACCTTGGAATTTGACCTACTTTTACAAAAAAAGCACACTTTAACCTTGGTTATAACTTTTGAAAAGATGGGAATAGGGCTTTCATACTTCACACATGTATTCATTGTGACAAGCCATTTCAGCTGGTATAAATATTTTTGACCTTCTAATCTTGACCTAAGAGTTTGATCTTTTTTAAAACATTAACCTTGTTCATAACTTTTAAAGAGTTAAAACTAATTAAAAGGAGAACCAACCATTTTGACTTTGACCTTTGGAGTTTGACATGCATTTTGGAGAATTTAAACCTAATGGGGACATCATTGCTTCGCAAACACATCTTGTTTCTTATAACTTTGGACTGAGAAGAGATAGGGCTTTCAACATTTACATTTCCTGTGACAAGATATTTCTTAGCACACTATGATTTCTGGTCCCTTGACCTTAACAATTAATCTAATAACTTTGGTGATAACTTCTGAATAACATATAAAAGAGCATTCAAATTTAACACAATATGCCATAGAAAAAAATGACATCTCACCCACAAAGATACCGAGAGCATGGGACCACAATTCTCTTAACTATTCTGGATGTGTTTCTTCTGTTTAAACATTTCCTAGGTAACTAGGTCTATGCCAGTTTTTGATGTCATTAAAGCCCCCTTAGACATTTCATATAAAATTTCTTATAACTTACAGAATAGATTGGAACAATACCTAGTAATCAATTTTTCTCAGCAACACTCATACTGTATAGAAAAAATGTCATCTTTTAGGTTGCAAAGGTAGGACATACCATTGCTTACAAAAACATAGACAAATCATAAAAAATCAAACTTACGATTTATAGTTATTATACAGATGATGATTCATAAATATTTAAAAATTCATAGATGTACCTTACGCAGTTTTAATTTTATAGCATAGTTCATGATAATAGTTCATGAATTTTTTCATAACCCCTCAAGTGAGGATTATAATTAATATAAATTGTACAATAGCTTGTATGCGATGAGTGATTTTTACATGCATTATTTATTGAAGAGTTCAAGGTTGAATACATTATCATTTCACCAAAGTGCAATGTTTTGTTCATGCTGAGACAATAACACATTAAAAAAAAAGTGTGGTAAATAGCTCAATCAAGCTATTCTAATAAATTTGATAAAGCTATAATAATCGATTAATAATAAATAAGCTACAGCCAGATAAATCAAGAGACTGTAATAATATCACCAATCATAATCCTTCTTTGATTGAGATGAAGACTCTTGAGACATCCAAAGATTGGAGTACAAGAAAATTCAAAGAATTGTGGTCCCTCGTTTTCGGTGTCTTTCAAGGTTACATGTCATTTTTTTTATTGCATATTGTTTAAATATAAATACCCTTTCATATGTTATTTAGAAGTTATTATGGAAGTAGATCCTTTTAAAAATAAGGTCAATCATAGTCAAGGGGTCAGAAATCAAAGCATGCTTGGAAATATCTTAATTGTCACAGGTAATGCACTTGTAAAATATGGAAATCTTTTGTCTTCTCAATCAAGATTATGAGGAAAATTAACATTTTTGAAAAGAAGGTCAAACATCAAAGTCACCGGATAAAATGTAGTAAATTTAGAAAGGTTTTGTCACAAGCATTACACAGCTTTAATATGAAGGCCCTATCTCTTTTCCTTCAAAAGTTTTTACCAACTTGGAAGGTTAAAGTTTTTTGACAAGTAGGTCAAACTTCAAGGTCAAGAGGTCAAAAATCGTAATGATATAATAAAATGTTTTCGAAGGTAAGTAACATGCATGTGTAATATGACAGTCCTATCTCTTCTCATTCAAAAGTTGTGGCCAATTTAAAGTGATGTTTTATATTTTTTAAAGTATGGCAAACTTTAAGGTAAAAGACATGGGGTCACAAATCATAGTGTATTTAGAAAGGTCTTGTTCCAGGATATATACATGTGTAATATAAAAGTCTTATCTCTTCTCATTCACAAGATATGACCAAGGTTAAAGTTTTTGTGACAGATGGACAGACTGACAGATGGACAGAAGAATGAAATTTAATGTCCCCTTGCTTTCACGAAAATGGGGGACAAATTAAAATAAACAAGAAAATTAAAAGAATTGTGTACGTCCCCTGCTTTTGGTGTCTTTGTGGGTGAAATGTCATTTTCTGTGACAAATTGTGTCAAACATGAACACCCTACTCATATGTCATTTAGAAATTCTCACCAAGGACGATTTTCTTAAAAATAAGGTAAATCGTTCAGGTCATGGTCAAGGGGTTAGAAATCATAGCATATGCTCAGAAATATCTTCACAAGTAATGCACATGTCAAAATTTGACATATTTAATACGAAAGCTCTATCAAAGGTTATAAAGAACAAGATGTGTTTGTGAAATACTGATGACCCCATATGGCAACATAGCAAAGATTAAACTTTTCTTAAATGCAAAATAAATATATTGGTACCCAAATTAGGGTTTGACCAAGTTTAAAGTTTTTCATAAGTACAGAAATCTCCAAGGTCAAAAAGTTGTTGGTATCCAATGAAAGGTCTTGCCACAAATAATACATATGTGAAATATGAAAGTCCTAGTATCTACTATTCAAAAGTTATGGCCATAGTAAAAGTTGAAATTTTTGAGTAAAAGTGAGTCAAACTCAAGGTCAAGGTCAAAAGGTCAAATTTGTTGGTACCGAAAGAAAGGTCTTGTCACAAGGAATACACATGTGAAAATATGAAAGTCCACTAAATCAAAAGTTATGGGCAAGTTTAAAGTTTTTGTGATGGACGGACAGACTGCCAGTTCAAAAATCATTTAAAAAATCAGTTATTTGATATTGTAATAATTTTTTCAACCCTTAATTTTTTTATTTTGTATAGTTTTATTAGCTGACCTGTGCTGAAAGCTCAATTGAGCTTTTCTGATCACATTTTGTCCGGCGTCCGTCTGTCTGTCCATCTGTCTGTCTGTCTGTAAACTTTTCACATTTTCGACTTCTTCTCAAGAACCACTGGGCCAATTTCAACCAAACTTGCCACAAAGTATCCTTGGGTGAAGGGGATTCAAGTTTGTTCAAATGAAGGGCCACGCCCTCATTCAAGGGAAGATAATTGGGAATTAATGAAAATTTGGTGGCATATTTTAAAAAACTTCTTCTCAAGAACCACTGTGCCAGGAAAGATGAAACTTATGGGGAAACATCCTCAGGTAGTGTAGATTCAAGTTTGTTCAAATCATGACCCCCGGGGGTAGGGCGGGGCCAAAATGGCCGACCATGTTCAGGTAGTGTAGATTCAAGTTTGTTCAAATCATGAATCCCGGGGGTAGGGCGGGGCCAAAATGGCCGACCAAAGTTTTACATAGAAATATATAGGAATAATTCTTTAAAAATCTTCTTCTCAAGAATGACAAAGCCATAATTCATCATATTTATATGGAAGCATGCTCAGGTAGTGTAGATTGAAGTTTGTTCAAATTATGACCCCCGGGGGTAGGGCGGGGCCAAAATGGCCGACCAAAGTTTTACATAGAAATATATAGGAAAATTCTTTAAACATCTTCTTCTCAAGAATGACAAAGCCATAATTCGTCATATTTATATGGAAGCATGCTCAAGTAGTGTAGATTCAAATTTGTTCAAATCATGACCCCCAGGGGTAGGGCGGGGCCAAAATGGCCGAGCAAAGTTTTTAAAGATATATATTTCTTTTAAAATCATTTTTTAAAAAATAGCAAATCCATGATTGGTCATGGGACTACTTTTGGATTTAAACTTAACAATAAAAAGCCATTTTCTACTTTTTCCTACCCTTAGTGCTCAGGTGAGCGATGTGGCCCATGGACCTCTT